TCACGAAGCCGGCTTCGAGACGCCAAGCGGAGACAGACACGAGTCCGCCTTTCCAAGGAAGACCCGTCAACACAGGCCAGAAGGGGCTCGTGCAGAAGATCGACAGCGTCATTACAGCGGCAGCAAGGATCGTTCTACCTGTCTGGAGGACAACGCCAACCAGTAGCCTCCTCCGAGACGCCGGCTTACCGTCAGCCAAAGTCGCCTTAGAAGGCGTCCGTTTACGGGCCGCAGTCCGACTACAGAGGATTGATCGCCGACACCCGCTAGTCGCGCGGCTCTCCCAGCAGGGACAGCAACAGACGAGACTACAACGGACGGCTGAACTTCTGCCAAGATGCGGAAGACCAACGTTCCTCCAATCACAGTACCTGCCAAGCTCACAGGATCAGATAGTAGTTCAATGCAAAGAAGAGGCTGCGAAAGCTTTCGAGCGCTGGCTAAAGACAGTACCGGAAAGCCATATGATCGTCTTCTCGGACGGCTCCAGGGCGACGAACGGAGCCGTGGGGTACGGCTTCGTCATCTACCGAGACTCCAAACGCATAGCGCAAGGGTGCGGCCGACTCGGACTAGCAGAAGTGTTCGACGCCGAGGTCGAAGGGGCGCGAACCGGCCTCAGAAGGGCTCTGCTCACCAATCGCGGTCATCCAATCCACATATGTATCGACAACACCAGCGTTATACAAGGCATCCGCGGCAAGGCGCCGGACTCGTCACAAGACGCGTTCCTCGAAATCCAAGAAGCGGCCAGGATATTTGATATACGGACGCACTGGTCCCCGGGACACCAGGGCATCGAAGGAAACGAGGCCGCGGACCGGCTGGCCAAAGAAGGAACGACACTGCCGGCGCGGATGGGTCAAATGGCAACACTAGCGGGCATCAAGCGGCTTGCAAGGGAAAAATTACAAAGCCAGCACAGGAGATGGTGGTATAAAGAGCGAAGGCCGCGGTACGCGGACTTGGGGCTTGAGGCAGCTCTGTCCAGCCCTCCTGAACTGGCCTTGCCGCGGGCTACGTTACATCACCTGCTGGCGGCACGATCGGGTCACGGGGACTTCGAGCAATATCACCGACGTTTCAACCACGACGACGCTCTAATGATGTGCTCTTGTGGAGAGGCGAAAGACGTGGACCACCTGGTCTACTGTCGACTAACGCTGGCGAGGAGGCAACGGTGGCCGACCCTCCACTCTCGCAGTATGCCCGAGCCCATAGGTCCTATGGGATCTCTCGAGGCCTACTTCAAGAGATTAATCACCGACCCACGAGGCTTCGAGGCCTTTCTCCGCGTGACGGACTTCTTCCAGAAGATCTGTCTGCGGTAGCAGCATCCACACCTAGGTAGATGTGAGTGCGGACTACAAAGAACCTCCCGATTCCAAGGGACGATTTGGGAAAGAATGAAACTGGGGCACCAGCGGGAACCGGGGACAGACAGAACGCGTAGTGGCCACAAGGCATGATTTGGAGGACGATGTAAAGAGACGACGTACTGTAGAGTAGGTAGCCTTGGCTCACGGCCCTCCACGCCATATACCCTTCGGGAGGTCTGCGGTAAGGGCTCTAGCCCGGCCGCCACGGCGTTAAATACAACAACAACAACAACAACAACAACACCAGGATCGGGTGGCTGGGCTGTGTTTCACAAATCTGATTCCACAACCGTCCTACGGCCCCAGCCTTCCTTTGTCAGCTCCGAAGAATTGTCCCAGCCTCTTGAAAACGTCATTAAATGACCAAGAGTGGCCGCAAAGATTTCTAGACTGGCCGTATCGATAAGATATGGCGGCTCTCTTCTACCTGTATAATCTCGGTGATTCAAATCGTAAGGTTAACGCCGCGTTCAGAAGTACTTTGTCCGAGGAAAATGTCTAACGAGCGAATCATACTTTCTGAGCGAGATTGTTTGTAGTGACTTTGTTGAGTATAAATTCATAATATTTTGAGCGGCAGTGATTCTGCCTGGAGTCGTTAAAAACAGGTGGTTGGTATTACGCTTGGGGAGCATTAGGGCATGCTGATGACTGATGAAATCAGACTTTGTGATACATGTACAGTCGAATTGATCGCAAACGGCTTGTTCAGGCAGATTTGTCTAATTTAAGAATCTCTTAGATATGTGATAGCTTAATTACACTTGTTCGTGAGGGAGAGCTGTACAAAATTGGATAGCGATCATGTACAGGACCTCGCGAATGATCCGAATCACTGTCATACCTTGAACATAAGTATGCTGATAGCGCCACGGCTCAACTAACATGATGGGTAGTAGTCGAAAGAGATCACATCAGATAAGTGCGACTTAAACCACCCAACATTCGTTTACCATAATAAGAAGATGTCGAATGAGGAAGAAGCCATTGGCATTATGGGGTTCCTTGACCAATGCCAGACTGAGCTACCATCACTCAGCCATTTTGAACCCATAGGTTACGGCTCCAAGAAAAGAAAGCACCTCTTTGGCAGTGTGTATATTACCTAGATCGCCAAGGATTGAGTTATATGCTGACTCTCGTCGCTTCCAGTGCAGCTGCGGGCAAGGATTAATGCCCCTCACGATGAGCGTTTGCCGCAACTGTAGTACGCCACGATGCTCATACTGTCCCGTCACAAAATTCGCAACTAGGTCGTGATGAATTGAATATCATTGATAAGTCGGATTTTTGGGAACGGAGTAAGTTATCCAAGCTTCAGTGGATTGAGGACCGGCAAAAGGTGACTAGGGAATGAAGCGCTAATGAGCGGTCCAGAGAACCTCGCTCGCCTTCCTGCAACATCAGTGGTAACGCTTCGGAACACCAGCGCCAATGGAATCGAATATTTTCTGCTACAACATCATTGTAAACGGAAAGATGTGCAATCTGAGTCCAGTTATTCTCATCCGTCTCTACGTGAAAATAGATAATACACCACGATCATCAACCCTCTTTGCGTCCAATTGTAAATAGTCCCCACATATTGAGCACTCGGTTTCGAAGTAATTACGCCCACATACGACAACACAGTGTACTGGGCACAGCTAGGCATGATGTGCCCACCAGAGAAGAAGCAGATTTAGGAGGCCAATCACATGCCTTTAACATAGGTCAGGTGCCAGCTCTTCTGAAAGTGACATACCTAAGTACCGAGATCGGCCTCCTCGAAGGACTAGGTAAAGCCCAAGGCAAATTATCCACGTTGCAGTGTCTTGCTTGTCTCGCCTGTCTTGCCCGGGAACCCCCTGGCCATTGCATCATAGTATCACGTGGCGGAGGACCTGTCTGGTCCTAACATGTCTCACAAACTGTTCAGGTATGATATTCAATAATTCCGTGTCTACAGCCAAGCTCGTTTCTTTTTCCTGGAACCAGGTTCCTGGCGCCGGGCAGCGCTTGCAAGTTACAAGGCTTGGTCCCTGTAATGTCTGCTGACGCGGGCCACGGCAGGTATCTTCCCAACGGATGGTGGCATGATGTGCCGCCGTTGCCGGCCTGGAATCAACGTTTGCTGGGTCGGGCATCTGCATCGAGGTAAAGATATTCCCTGGGGAATGCGTCTTGCTCCTTTTGGCATTCATTGTCCCGAAAAATGCTTGGGTGACAGGTGACGCTTCATCCGTGAAGATCACAAAATAGGTACACGAAGTTTCCGGTACTAAGTGTCGGTCGCCCGAGTACTGTTTGCTAGAGTCTATCGGCGGATACGAATTTAAAGTTAAATGAGTTTTCAGCTGGACTCGCCACCCGAGCAGATACGTGGGATCTTGGTGCGAATAACTGACGGAGCAATCTTATATGCGTCCTGATCATTTGCCCCGATGCGGCTCAAATGGACTATTTATGATCCCATCAGAGAAGCACCATTGCGATACTTGGCCGTCAAATTTCACTGGCCCATTCTACCTACGGTATCTTGACATGATATTCTTTGATCTTCACCACACGCTGCCCCTTCCCTTATAGGCGGCTCGAATTCATGTGCATTTTAACGTCCCAGTCTCTCTTAGCCTCATTCGGCCAGCCAAGTACTGCAGCGAGCAACACAATGCCAGCTTTCATTTGCAGCCAATCTTGCAGCAGTTCGCCCACCCTAGGCGCCGAAGTTATCCAATTACTTACCGACTCAAGCACACCCTCATGCCGGAATCACCATCTTCAATATGCTGAACGGTGCTTCAGCTGCTTGCCGATGCAGGGCCCTACGCCAGTCGAGTGGGGGCCAAAAAGAAAGCAGATTTGTCTTTGGACATGTGTCAGTACATCTTTCTCCCCCAACCCACACCTTTTTTAGTGGAAAAAGATATGGCCGTTGACTTTGACATGCTGTAGTGCTACTGCGGCCAGACTGGATTGCCCATTCGCCTGGAATCGTGCGGGAGTTGCGGGGTGGCCCGCTGCGCATATTGCCCGGTCGCCAGGTTTAGAAGGGCTGGCACCGTCCTAACCTAGGGATAGGAGCCATACGGCAGGGGGCTGATTTTATTATTGCAAATGATGGCGTCAATGTATTATGGGAGTGAGCGCAAGGTTGCCAACGGTCTATTGAGCTATTTCTTTTGGTGTTTCTGGTTTTATGCGTTGTCTTTGAGATCTATTCCTATCTTAGGTACCCAGGGGTTTATGTCTAGGTGAAATTGAAAACCGCTGATTTGCATTTCCAGTATCTCAGGAGTATCTCGTCGTTGGTCCACACACCACCACCTCCCCCCCTGTGCACCTAGTAGGTAGAAGCACCCACTGCACTACGTGCATCTTTGTGCCTACCGGCTTTTCCTTACCAGCCAAGATTGAGCTGAGTACGCATTCTTCGTCAAAGCCCTCTCGTTGAACCCATACACTGCCTCCTGGCTGCGGACCTTTTCTTCTCCAAACGTCACCTCTCCGCATTCCTGCCCGATATCCAGAAATTCAAACCCCATGTTCTTGGTCACTGCGATAACCTCATCAAGGGAAAGCTGAACGAAAGGACCGGTTCCCCACATGAGAGGCCCAAAGTTGACCCAGTACCCTCCAGGCTTCAACACGGAATTGATTGTATCGAAGTAGCTCATGACATTGCGAGCCGTGTCGAGGAAGAAGTGCGTCACCACGACATCATACTGGCCAGAATACGACTTGAAAGCTGAAGCGAAATCACCTTCGACAAGTAGCACGGCACTGGCGTTAACCCGCCTATCAGGGAAGGACACCTGACGAAACATGTCTGCTGCTGTCGCGTGATGCGACCATCCCTCAACAAACGGGTGGAAAGCCTGAGAAGCCGGGCGAGTGTGAGACTCGAGAAAACGATAAGCGAGATTCATGAACATCGACCATTCGTTGCTCGTGACCTCGAAGCCTCCGAGAGCGGAGATTTCGTGACCCAGACGGCCAGCGCCGGCCCCCGGAAGCAGGACTTTGATGTCTCCCCGCTCAGAGCGATCTGGGAAAAGCGTGTTTAGAGTACCGAGAATACAGGGGAAGGCATCATCTCGCTCGCCTCGACCGGCAGTCGACCAATCTCTAACAAAATGTTTCAGGGCTTGGGATGTGCTCACTCTGTCAGCAGGCTGGCCAGCATTGTCCTTGGCCTTGGCATGGTCATCCAGCTCCTTGCGACTGATTCCGTAAAACTCGAGCGCTGTCTCGACAATCTCATCGCACAGCGCCTGGTTCACATTGAGAAGCTCTTCCGCCGTCTCAAACTTCTTTGAATATCCAACGGCCTTTTCAAGAACCTACGGTGCTAAACATCAGCGGGCTGTTGGCTTCAGGGGGAAAGATTGTCTCAGGGGGCGGCATGATTGTTACTAACCGCTTTCTGTGCCTTGGAAACGTGCTTGTACAGCCCCTTCCACCGGTCGAGCTCAGCCATCTGGCGGGCCTTGTATCGACTGAATCCAAACAAGGCCTCGAGAAGCCGATGGCGGGGGTGATTGGTGTCCCATTTACCGTGGGATTTGCTCAGTCGCTTCAGGAGATTCTTCTTCTCCTGCTCATGGCGTGGGCTCGGCTTGTCTGGGATATCCTCCACAGTGACCGTCACCTCGTGAATCTCAACAAAGGATTCTTCTGGCATCTGCGTTATTCGGTTAGTACGTGCTTGAGCCTGGCGGCAGACAACACCGTGACCGGGGGGGGGGGGCTGGCCCTTACCGCCGCCAAAATTTCTTGCGCAGTCAACTCATTGTCCAAAACGACTCCATTGTCCGCGTAATTCCGGACGCTGTCTGCCTCGGCGGCTACAGAAAGAACGCCATAGGCGAGACTGGAGGCAGCCCAAAAGGCAACCTGAGACAACCTCATTGAAGCAGGCAACGCTCACCGAGTGGCGTTAAGGCTAGTCAGGGGTATGGCTTGATGCGATTCGCCAGGGCCGACAATGGCCTGCAGAGAAACGCGTCGAAAACTTCGATTTCGGATCTGAGCCGACGTAAGGAGACTCAATCGTCGCTGTATCTTTGTTTGGTGAAAAGAATGGTCTCTTCTATTGTTTGAAGAGAATTCTAAATTGAGTGCGGTCAAAATAATGAGTACCTTGATAGACGCCAAGACGAGAAAATGTGGATATACCCAACCACAGCCCGAATACGTGGAATATCGTGTGGTATTCATGTACAAAGGATCTGAAGTCTACCCCTATTGGTGATTCTCTCCATCTTCAGATCCTGCTATCTACTTCTGGACGCAATATGCTCCATTATGCGTGGCCATTAGTCCCATTCGTGAGCTTCCCATTCGCTGTCACCGCATCCTCCTTCAAATACTCATTGAGGCGATCGCGCGTCTTGCAGTTCTCCAATGCAAAGCTAGCCGCCAGCTCCTCGAGCTCATCCTCTGTCTTGCCCTTGAACAGCTCCGCAAACTCCCAGCCAGCATACTCGCTCATCAAACACTCACGCACTACACGCTCGACTTGCCTGTCAAAGTTCCATACCTTGGGATACTTCTTCTTGAGCAAGTGCGCGGGGATTTGCTTCTTCAGCTTCTCGATAAACGGCGCGTACACCTCGTTGTCGATGGCGCTCTTGTCTGCGCAACCCCAAAAGTCGAGACCGTTTCGTTGCTTCTTCTCAACAAACGGCTGGATGAGGCGCATGTACGGGCTTTCCGGGTCGAGGTAGACCATGCCTTGGTAGCCGATATCCTTGTACAACCAGATGCTCCATGAGATGCCGTCGAGCTCCCGGTATATGGCGAGCTGCTCCTTGAGTAACGCGAAGCGCTTCTCGTTGGTCGCCTCGGCGTTGGGATCCGTCTTCGGGTTCTGGTAGACGGGGCCCCACTCGCCGTTCCAAATCGGCACACCGGCCTTTTGCATGAATTCCACCTTACGCTTAAGACTTGTGCGCAGCTTCTCCTTCTGTTCAGATGTGCCGTCGTACTGCTCGGGAAGGGGAAAGCCCATCATGCTGTAGTCGTGGCAGCTGTAGACACTGTTGGGCAGTGTCTTTTCTGGTGAGAAGGCAGAGAAGTCCATGGCGTAGGTGTTGCCGTCCAGGAAGAGGATGTGGTCAGGGTCGATAGCGCGGATCGCCTTCTCGGCGCGCTCGTACCATGCGATGAGGCGGGTGTGCTCGGGGTCTGCTGGCTCATTCAGGGGATTGTATCCCGCAATGACCTTGTTGCCGGCGTAATGACGGGCGAGAGCCTCCCATAATTGAATTGCGCGATCCTGAAAGTCTTTAAATTCCCAGAAAAGTGCTCTGCTGATTCCTGAGTCGCTGTGCCAGTCCTGGTTCTGCCCACCTTGCACCGCATGGAGGTCAAGGATGACATAGATGTTGTACTTGGCGCAAATACTAACGAGTCGATCGAGAAGATCGAAGCCAGACTGCTTAATTACGCTCGGGTTGTCGTCATCCTGGAAGTGACGGTAGTTGAAGGGTATCCTCAAGCAGTTGAGACCCAGTTGTGCGTATAAGGCAGCGTCAGCCTCTGTGAAAAAGTGGTGGATGAGACGGTTGAAGAAGAAGTCGGCTTTTTCCTTGCCCAGGACTTCTTCCAAGGCAGCGCGGTGTTCGTGCTCGTGACCAGCGTACCCGGTGATGAAGTTCTCCATGTTGAGCATGCCACCGAGGCCGGCGCCCTTGAGGATTACTTCATTGTCATTCTCGTCGACAATCTTAGTTCCCTTGACGCGAAGCATCGTGAGAGGGGGGTTAGATCTAGCGGCCGACATTATGAGCAGATATGAGGTTCTGGGTTCGGGGGTATGTTGGTGCTGATTGTCGGTCTTTCTGAGGACGGTTCTTTATACCCATCGGCATCGTGACCAAGACTACACAGTGGACCGAATTGATAAGTATGGCCCAATCATGAAATCGTATCGAGGCTCTGTTCTGCTGTCATCGCACATGGCTAAGTGAGCGTCCGGCTATCCCCCTCACCGTCTTAAGAGCGACACTCCGCGAAGGTGGGTTGATGTGGGGCTTGCCTTAAAACACATTCTCAATCCATCCCGCATGTGAATCAGCCCGACTGGACCAACTAGAGTCTGGGGTACAGCGATTTGCGCATGAGGTGGAGCTAGGCTCTGACCGATGAGACGCCAGCAGCTGCCTATTGACATTCGTGGGAGTCTTCGCTGTGTGTCGACCAAGTGACAACATGACTTTCCCACGACATTTCCCGGTTCCACGTTGTGTCAAGCGGAGTATCGATCGAGTTGCATTTAGCCTGAATGAATCGATGTAGTATTGCCGGTAGTCAGCTTCAAGACCTTTGACGGACAAAGATCAAGTTATCATGTCCGGCAAGTATCCTCGACTAAACCCGTAAACGATAAGCCGATGGGGATGGTGCCGAGATCATCCCACATGCCTTGTCCAAGACGCGACGAACAAGCTCCATCTCGCGCGTTTCGCACTCCCAAAACGCAAGTAGATCAACCACCTCTCCTACGGCGCCATACCAACCATTTGGTAGGGAATGTCCACCTTCAGAACCGCTAGACTGGGTGAGCAATGCTGCCGCAACCAACACCAGGGCGCTTCGCGAGCAGGATCGCATCATGGGCAGCGTCCCATGGTGGCGATGTCTGTATCCTAGGTGATTAATGGCGAGTCGATAAGCGTGGTTTTCGAGACCTTTTTGAGCGAATAATTCCACACTAGGAGTAAGAACCTCTCCAGCAAACTCGGGGTTCGCCCCAAATGCATCGAGGAAAGCGGCGGTAAATGGCCAGTATATCACCTCATAAAGGTTCACCGCGTGACCTCGGAGCACAAATCTGCACACATCATCCTCTTCCGGAGGCTCGGCGAATGAGAGACTGGGAGGAAGCGAGCTTATCCACTCTTGTGCTTGCTCCTCGTACTGCGGCACTGCCGCGGCCATTGCCGCGAGGTATGCTTGGCGCGTGGGGTGTTCTTTTTGAAGGCCCACCATCTCGGCACTAATCCGAGAGGCAAGCCTTCTGAGAGAGATCTCGGCCAGGTAAAAGTACCATGATGTTCTCTCGCGAGCCAGACGCGGATCTGTTGCCGCCTCAACTTCTGCCCTAGGCGCTGGCGGCGTCGGGAAGAAGGGCGGGTAAAATGCCAATTCCTGATCGCTGAGTGAAAAGTCTGGGAGGTAGAGGTCCCCTCGCATCTCTCGCTCGGATTTCCATGAGGACCAGTAGACAGCCTGTTGCAGAGTGTCGATGGAGTAATTCCGTGACTCGTCGCCCGACTCAACGTTTCTGTGGTAGCGCTGTTGGGCCTCAGGGGTGAGAAACGAAAATTGCTGACAGCTAGCCAGCGCCTGCACGAAGTACCTCCACGCCTTGACAGGCTGGAAAACGCACATCATATAGACCCCTGAAAGAAACAGACATTGAGCCGCAATAATGTCATCTGACGACAGCAAAATTCCCAGTCGCTTCTGCGCGGCTTGGAAGAAAGCTTGAGCATCGCTGTGGGCTGCGGAACCCAGCATCGTCTCCTGGCTGGGCCCAAAAGGTGTGGCTAGAGAGCCTAATGCGCAGATCAGGAGAGAAAGACAGGACTCAGCCGACCAGTTGATTCCTTCAAGTACCGTATGTGAGACCATTTTTCGAGTTGCTGTCTCGTCGAGAATCGGATTCTTGACATGGACGTAGCTGAAGAAACTATCGAGCAAGTCATTGATTCGTCGCGGCTCCAGGTCAAGAGCGCCGATGAGGGACATTGGAGAATTCGCAGCTATTGAGATATGATCAACATGCAGAGCCATGTCTCCAGCATCAACGCTGTTGCTAATCTCCTCAAAGATGGCCCACGACATGACATGTTCTGGCCTCGGAGGGAGGATCATCCCCATCTGGATAAGAGGCCCCACTGGAGGTGCTTCTATTACCCGATGCTCGACCGGGGCCTCGACCACTCGTGTTTTGTTGCTCGGTAGTCCATCGACTGTCACCGATCTCATCATCTCCTCCAGATCATCGAGTCGTTCCAATATCTTCAGACTAGCCGGGTCGAAGCTGGAGAGGTCAACGGGCGACTGGATGCAAGTAGCCCCAACCTTGAGGCAGAACGAGCATGATGGCTTGAGATTGTCGCATTTTGTTCTCCGAGCCCGGCATACTTGGCATGCCCTGACGGCTCTCTTCCGCTGATAGAATGCGGTTCCGCGTGCTGCTGGTCGGGTGTTGGTCTTAGACGTGGACTGTTCCGGCCGACTCCGGTCTGGGTCAGACGCGTCTGTGGCCGACGGCACGTGGCTGTCCGGGGCAGATGGGTCTGCCATCAAGAGATGGAAAGGATTGCCAGGCGTACAATGGCTCGAATTTGTGGGGTATAAACGACACTACTTCTTGGAGGCGGTTTGTGGGTTGCAATAAGATGTTTGATGAGGTGGAAAGCTGGAGAAAAGACGGGGGAAGCTGTCGCGGAATGTCGCTTTTAATGTTCTTTCCTTCGCCGGCTGGAGATTCTTGCCGGGCTAGCCCGAAATGGATTGCGGGGAAAGTCCGGGGCTCCACACCAACCCGAGGATACGTACCTGTCGTTCCACGCTCTCGGATTTTCGAGGGCGGTGGTCTCGGCCCAACACAGAGGCGCGTGGACTGATTTTCTTCAGGAGCCATTCCCAGGCCTTGCCATATTGGGCGTTGGTTCGCCTAGATGTGGCTTGATCAGTCGCGGAATGTCGCTCATACGCCATCTATCCTGTTGTTTTTGAACAAGGGGTTCACCAAGAGCTATCCGAATGACCTCAACGCAGGTTGCTCGGGACTATACCACCATCACGAATAAGGTGTTCCAGCAACCTGACTGCCGGTAATGAGGAGTTGACAAAGGATATAATCTTCAGAACTTCCCCGGATTTCCTGGTGATCATCCTTTTGTTCTCCAGTCTCCGCCGCTCCTCCACCCTGGTCAGCCATCTTCAGTTTCCACATCGAGTCACAATTGAAGTTTGTCACATTCCGTGACGACTCCCATCAAATATGGCAGAGAAGAACGACGTTTCGGATCACTTGGAAGCAAGTGTTTCTCATCATGATGCCAAGGGAATGGCCGTCGGTGCGACCAATCAGCAGGAGCATGATCTCACTGTTCGAGAAGTCTTCAAGAACCACAAAGCCATTGTCTGGTGGTGTTTCTACTGGGCCATGGCTGCCATTGGATGGTAAAACATCCAGGATGACCTCAAAGAGTTGCAATTGACTGACCACGCGACTCTTAGGGGCTTTGATGCTCAAATCAACGGCGCCATGATTTCCGTCGCATCCTTCAGGAGAGACTTTGGGTACGAATCCACATGCAATCTCCTGGCCCAACCTACTATCCTCGCAAAGTTGCAAAGACTAACTAGAGACCCAACAGATATGTACTCGACGGCGAAGCGATTCTACCCGCGGATTGGCAGTCTGCCTTCAACATCATCAGCACCGTCGGTCAGTTCTTCGGAGGCTTTGCCTGCAGTTGGCTTGCAGATAGAATTGGACGCAAGAATTCCCTTCTAATCGGCGTCGTCATCTGCACCGGCGGCTGCGTCGGCGAGATCCTCTCAGATACCAGGGCAGCTTTCCTCTGCTCCAAGCTGATCCTCGGCCTGGGCCTCGGTTTCTACCTTACGCTTGCACCCCTCGCATGCAGTGAGCTGGCTCCCGTCGCTCTTCGAGGTTATGCCACAGCTGGTGTTAACTTGGGCATCGCCATTGGCCAGCTCTTGTCCAACGCTGTTGTCAAGGCCTTTGGAGAAAGATCCGATCGCTGGGCCTACCGTGGACCCTTCGCCACCCAGCTCTTCTTCGTCCTCTTCCTCGCCGTTTTCTTGCCCTTCACGCCCGAGACCCCCTGGTACCTTGCCCGCAAGGACAAGCTCGAACAAGCGGCAAAGTCACTCAAGAAGCTATATGGACAGGACTACGACGTCAACGCCAGGCTATCTGGAATTGTGGCGACAATTGAGGAGGAGAACTTGAACCAAACACACGAGCTTGGATTTGTCGACTGCTTCAAGGGTACCAACCTGCTTCGGACAGGTATATCAACTGGCGTCTTCCTTTGCCAGCACTTGGTAAGTATCTCTTGACGTAATCATACTTGACTCTTTGCTAACTCTGCACAAGGTCGGCATTATCTTTGTTCTCGGATACTCGACATACTTCTTCCAACTTGCTGGCCTCGATGTCTCGAAATCCTTCGACCTCGGCGTGGGCGTCACAGCCTGTGGTGTCCTGGGAAATATCGTGAGTTGGTTCGTCATTGAGTCCTTTGGCCGCCGGAAGATCTTTATCTCTGGAATGGGAGCCCTGACAACGCTCCTCCTACTCATCGGCATCATGGACGTCGTCCCAACTGATGCCGCGAAATGGATGCAAGCCGCCTGTACCGTCATTTACGCCTTTGTGTACTTCATGACTATTGGTGCCATGGCTTTTGCCATCCTAGGCGAGGCTTCCAGCTCTGTTCTGCGCGCAAAGACTATGGCTCTCGCTACCGCTACCCAAGCAATCTGCGGCTTGGCGATGAACTTCGCGATTCCTTACATGGTCAACCCGGATGAGGGCAACTTGAAGGGCAAGGTTGGATTCATCTTTGGTGGTCTGGCGTTGATTGGTACTGTAGGAAGCTTCTTCTACGTTCCTGAACTCAAGGGTAAGACCTTTGATGAGATTGACCGTCTCTTCGTGGCGAAGGTACCACCGAGAAGAATGGGAAAGATGTAAGCTCCTCGAAAGACGGTGGATAACTATTAGTTATCATTGGATCAGTACAGTTTATTAATACACGATAAAATGTGGTCTATGACTGAACCAGTCCCGATCCCCTTTGATTGCTGGAAGGCGACTTCTATCTACTGACTTTCAAGGCATTCCAAGTGCCTATGTCGGATTGGCTGTGAGGGCCTATCGGCTGCTTTTCTCTTCCGTGCCAGATAGGTAGGTTCAGGGCTACAAAGAAGATTCACTTAATCTTCTACGCGAACCGCGGCGTTCAGTCTACTTTCTCGGCGAAGGCTGATCATACTCGGCAATGTAGAAAATCAAGTCATCCGGCTGAATCCCCTCCGAGTCCTCCAAACTCGAAACATACGCCCCCGTGACGTCCTTGCCCTCCATACTATTCCACTCCCAGCACATCTTGTGAACGTGCCAGTAAAACGGGTTGTCCGTGATCTGCCCCCATCCAATCTCGCCCATGTCGATCTGGAAGCTCGTCTTGGGTCCGACACCGCGCATCTGGCGGGCCTGCGCGATCGAGTTCATCGCCCTGTACTCCATGACGTCGACGAACTGGACAGAGTCGAGGTCGGACAGCCATTTTCCCGCGCGTCCCCAGACACGGGCGATGATGTCGCGCAGGGAGACGCCCTTTTCGTCAAAGCCGTTGGCGACGAAGTCGACCTTGATGCGGTTGCCGTCGATGCGGAACTCGTTGATGATGTAGCCGCCTGACGACACTGTCCACTTGTCGCCACTATTGCTGACGCTGTAGCCGGCGTCGTCGAGCTCGTCGCAGTGGCCGAGGCACAGGAGGCCGCAGAGAACTGCGAGGCAGTAGAAGATTACGGACCGCATTGCTGGAAATGGTGCGAATAGGTGGTCAAATGAGTGTGGAAGTAGAGAGCAGATGCTTCTTGAAGAAATTGAATATGCGTGAGACTTGGACCCGAAGTTGGCTAACGGGAAGGCGCTTAAATAGTAATTACAGTACTCAAGGCACAGTTCTCAACAACTTACAATGCTACCTGCTATGTGAACAGCTCCAACGTCGTCACTTACAAAGCTGGTATCCATCTCGTTGGACCCAAACTCCGAGACACGAATGGAGCATACGGGGAGTAATGACACAGAGAATAGCTTCGAAAAGTCAAAAAGATACCGGTGATGATTGATTCGGCCTCTCCGCCTGCAAAATCGAAAATCGAGGCGTGCGAATATCGCCTATAAACTTTTGTCAAATGGTCGGTGGAGCCTTGAAGCCGAGAACGCCGGCACCCATTTACAATGATTACTTCCAATGATGTTGACCTTGTAGTATATATTGTACTGCCAAATGTGAACCAACGCACGGAGGTGCCGTTCATTGAAACCACCAAGGTTGTTCGCTGCATGGAACTGATGGGAAGTCTATTTTACTTCGGCGCAGTTGAGAAAAACCCCCACCCGTACACAGGATCACCAACTGGACCGAGCTGAGAACAGCCAGGGCTTATGAGGTGTGTGTCAACTGTCAGGTACGGCTGCGCACTAATATTAACTTTCGCGATCATACTATAAGTACAGTCATGTAATTAACTAAACCTTTTCAACGTCTGGGCGTCATATCTTACCCATGCCGAAACACAATTATCGCGGAATTCCTTAGTCTCCATCCGCCGTCGGGAGAGCCCCATGCAATTAAACTACCGTAGGCTACTCGGTCATGACGACAATGGCGCAGAGTCTCATGGATACTTCAGTCTTCTATAGACTCCTAATGGTCCTAGTCATATAAGTAGCCAGACTCGGGAAACCTCAGCTAATACATCAACAGCTTACTGAAATCACTCTATCTTCTCTATCAACCACGACCTTGAGTATTTACTCAATCAAAAGCCGCGCTCCCTGCAATAACTTGCATTCATCATGCATTCCTTTCCTACCGTTCTTCTCTTCATCGCCGCGCTGGCCGGCCACTCCGTCGCTCAAAGTTGCACCGACCAGTGCGCAGATGTCTTCGCCGTAGCGAGCTCAGAATGCCCGCACCTCGGCAACACAAAAGAAGACGCCGACACCCTCAACGGCCCCAAGATGAGCTGGAAGAACAACATCTGGTCCACCCGTGGCAGGGACGGTGCCGTGGTTGAGATCGACCCCAGAGCTTGCACCCTGAGAACCTTTGGTGGCCGTGACGACTTCTGCGGCATCTGGATCGGCGGCAAGGAGGAAAAAGGAAAGGGAAACGCCGAGGTCAAGCAGCCGAACGCGCTGTTACAGATCCCTTTCAACGGTGGCTGCTGCAAGATCGACAAGGAATTCTGCAAGGATGGTGCTATTGACTGGGCCCAGTTATTGAGAGTGAAGAAGGGGCCTGATGCATCTTAAGCATCGAATAGGATGCAACATATTGGAGGGTTTTGTTGAACGAAGATAAGATATCTTCGTGAATGTGAATTTCGGGTTCTTTTGCATATCCAAGTCATTATCCAAGTTAGCCTCGCTATATGTACATGTGCAACCTACATGGATTCACGTAATGACTATTTACTCAAGTAATCTTTCATTAGCAATCTATCCTGCATCCCAATTGCCTGAACTAGTTGCATTTTTCCAGAGTCCAATCATTTCAATCAATATATCTGCTTGTCAAACTTTGTCTACTTCGCAACTGTGTATCGAATATTTGGCTGAGGTGGCATCTTCATATCGTTGCCGAGAAAGTAGTCAACATGGTGAGATTGCATGTACCCCTTCAAAGTCATTGCATTGCGGTATGCAGGATTATGAGCCAGAGTATACAAGCGTGTGTCGCTCGGCTTGTCCGTGGTGAAAATGAGCAGCTCATCGGCAGCTGCATTGGTGACAATGACTTCCTCTCTCCAGTCCCCGAGAATATCACCAATGAAGTTGGGATATCTCCCGGCAGTGACTCCGCCAAAGTCGCTGACTCTCAAGATGCGAGGGAGACTGCTGGAGGCGCTAGGCTTCTCCCAATCCCACTTCTCAAACTTGCCATCATTGAAAAGTTCGAGTAGCTCGTCCCCATCCCACCAAAGGCCCAGGTGGGGCCAAGGGGCGAGCTCAGTGTCCAACTCTGTGAGCTCATTTTTTTTGGCGTTGTAAACTCCTGAGAACGACCACACTTCCATGCCGGGATGGGTTGGGTCAATGTCCCCGAGCATGCCGCGGGCAACATCGGTAACGTTGTCGCCGACGTGCTTCCAGATAATCTTGCCAGATGATCCATCATAGTAGTACTCGTAGATGAGATCTGGGTTTCGCTGCTGCACGCCGTACCCCTGAAGCCCTTCACGATTCGGGTCAATCTTGGCGAGATGGAATCGATCGCCGTGGATGATACCCTGATCCCCGAGGGTGTACCTCTCCGTGCCATCTCCATTCAAGGCAAAGCCGATCTCAAGGACCTCATCCTTTCCGTCCCCGTCGAGATCAATGATACGCGTGTTATGCCCGTCGGGAAAGTTCTTGTCGCCCCGATTCCACTTCCACTTCTGCTTCAGAGATGTACCGTCAAAGGTCCAGGTCACATACATCAAGTTGAAATCACCAGAACCAATGCGGTTCTTCATGTACGCAACGAGATGAGGTGTCTCTCCGTCCAGAAACCCGGCACCAAGGCGGGCGGCGAGCGGTCCGTCGTCAATGTAATCCGTAGGAACCGGAGCGGAGGCGCGAAGAGCTCCCGTGCGCCCGTCCAGAATAGCCATGGATTGGTGATTATCCGTTTCCCCATCGTCAAAGGTCTTCCCGTCTCCAAACACAACTCCATTAGCGATACGAATGGCAACTTCGGCGCGCCCGTCACTGTCGAAGTCGAAAACAGTAACACCATCCCAGTGACCAACGTCAATTGTTGACGATCCCGGCTCTATGTTGTTTTGATTCTCGCTATTTGGACCGAGATTGATTTCCCAGAGGAAAGTCCCATTACCGGTGTAGGCCTCAATAGTCTGGGGCGAAGTCTGTCTGTCGAGAACATAGTCCCACTCGCCGTCTCCGTCAAGATCACCAACCCAGACGAATTTGACAGCGCCACCGCTACGGATAGGGACCCGAACAACCGGCTCGACCGCTTTCCTGGCAGGGAGACTGAAAGATCCGCTAGCATCTTGTTCTTTGCCGCCAATGACGGGGCGTACGAAGTAGGTATTGACTTCTTCCGGATTAGCGGTAGAATCAAGAAAGTTGGTGCCGCCCGTGAGGACTTTGTCGTTGAGTTTTGTTGGTGAAGTCCCCATGTCACGATAGACGTTGAAGCCGATTCCTGATGGATCTAGTCCAAGAAGACGCCAGGTGACCAAGATGTCTTCGTCGCTTGCGCGCACAGCTACTACGCCTCGGCCAAGACTTTCCAAGGGCCGGGCCGCTTGTGCCAAGAAGGCACTAGAGAGGGCAAAAGAGGCTGAGAGAAGGTTGAGAAATTTCATAATTTCGACCTTTTGAGACACCTTTGATGAGTAATATAGACGTTTCGACCCGTGCTGTTTGTTGTCTTTGAATCACTTAGACTTAGATGTATTTACCGGGGATTGAGCTGAATAAGTAGCTACTAATTTATACTGACATTGTCTATACGCACATAGACTTGCCGACGCCGTTCACCTGAATGATCTCAACTCAGTCCGAACTCCCGTTAGTCCGCTCCGTTTCCATCGTTGTCAGGCTCATCGTCTTGATGCCGCAATCTCTCCAGGTTTACAACTCGGTAAATGCCACGGGCGATTTGCCTGATGTCACGCAACCACGGCATGCCCACCAATGTTCGACTGCCATTGGAGGAGTAATATTACCTAGACTTGGCAAAGCGATTACCCGAATCGTCGTCGCTGAACGTCAAATGGTTGCCCGAGCCAGTTATTCCGAATGAAAGCTTCCACAACTGAGGCGGCCGTCAGCGGCAATCTATATCTCGGTTCAATTGGGCCGGAAAATCGGGCTAACATCAAACATGGGCCACTCTCTCCCCATGGGGAAGACATACATCAAAGCTGCTTCAATGCACCCCGCAACTCTCCATGCTAGCGGCTAAGAATGGTAGGTCAATCATTAGGACTTAGTAGTTGTTCAGGCCCTTGTCGCTTTCTATCATCTTGTGGTTGATAGATAAGCTAGGATGAAGAATTAAAGCAATCAAACGATGTGAAAATGTACCAAAAACAACACACCCTCTATCTTCAGTAAGCCAAGACCATTTGCAATTCTTCTTGATGCGACTAGAGCCTCTTGTTCATCTCCACCTGTTCCATGATCTTTCCGACATCCTTCTCTGCACTTTGGAGATCTTTGTGTACAAGTGCTTCAACCCATGGACCCCTAGAAATGAACAGTGCTTCAAAGGGATCAGGCCCAACAACGATACCCGCCGGCAACATGGACATCGGATCAATCAACTTCTTCTTCAATGTGATCTGATCAGTCGTTTGCTCTAGTCGAAACGCCCAGATGATCCGGGCAAACAATACCCACAGCCCCTCTCTACCTACATGCCTGCCTGGACAAAGTCGCCTTCCGTATCCAAAGGCGGTCCTAGGTAGGTCTTCGTTCTCGATCCATCTTTCCGGTCTGAAGTCGTCGCAGTCCGCACCATACACCTCTTTGTCTCGTGTGATCGCCCACTGGGAGTGAATTATCGTTGCTCCCTTCGGGATTCTGTATCCCTTGTACTCATCTTCCTCAACAGCCGCGTGGTCTAACCCAGCTGGAAGGATCGGTCGCCACCGCATGACCTCCTCGACCATTGCATCGATATATGGCAGCTTCTCCCGGTCTTTGTAAACAGGCAAGCGATCGTGACCAACAACTTCATCGACCATGATCTGAGCCTTGCCCAAGACATGCGGATACGTCAACATGGCAATGACGAACCAACACAGAGTGGCGACGCTGGTATCACCGTTGGCCAAGGTCAACGTTCCCACGACCCACGCCTGCTCGGTCTCGCACATGCCCATATCCAACACATCAGTGCTGTTGGCAACTTGTTTGCTCAGGTTGTAGCTAGGTCTCTTCAGCGCGCTGCGAAAATTGGCCAAATAGTGAGCCTCCTCGCGTTCGAAGAGGACCTTTGCTGCTCGTTTTCATGGAGAAATGGCGTAGGGAATATTCCTAAGCCAAGGAAAGGTGTCGAACCAAGGCGGTGTGGTCTTCAGGACCACCGAGGTTGGAGCAGCATCGAAGAACTTGATTTGTGCTTCATGCTCGGGGTTGCCTTTGAGCAGTCGATAGCCCCAAGCTATCATGCTCACGTTGCTGGATGCTGCGCGTCGGAAGTGCCAGTGAGGGTTCACAGCACCTCCCATTTGCTTCTCGCTACTTTTCTCTTGTATCTCTGACAATAGATCATTCAGCAGCTGAAGCGATTCCAACTCTATCAGAGGGTGATACGGCGCCACGGAGCGAGTATTCAGTCCCTTAGCATGAAGCCGTTGATGTAGCCGGAACTGGGTTTCGTACTGCAGAAAGAGAATATTGTAGTTGTTACAAACAAGCTCTCCTGCGTAAGGACTGAATGTGCGTCCTGAATAGTTGCTTGCTCGCTTGTTCAGAAGATCGTGGGCCGCTTCCACCGTTGTTAAGACGATGTGGGACTGTCCTCCCTTTTCATAATGCACGATTGGTCCGTACAAGTACTTCCATTGATAATGGATTAACCAGTTGAAGCAGACATCTGGCGCATTGAAGAAGTTTCCAAGTATGGGTAATCGAGGCGGTCCCGGAGGTAAAGGAAGGCTCTTCTGTGTATTCTGTTGTGAATTTTGTCGAATGTAGGAGACAAGTAGATAGAGTACAATAGAGGCCAAAGCGAATAAGAGCAAGTCCATAGATATTGACGTACGGACCGAAGATGCATGTTTGCCGCCGAGAGGTTCCATATTGAGTTTCTTGGTGAATATTTTTCTAGTCAATAACTCAGGGTAGATTGGAAAGGTGATTAGATAAAACAAAACAAGAAGGGAAAGGAAGTTTAAATATTCGCCCATGGTGAGTTGGTAGTAATAGCCTCTCACTGAATGCGAGTTGTTTACCCTTCATGTCGTGAAACAATATATGCACAACATACGTATGACAAGAGATTGGGTTCCCGTGTCAAGAGCCTTATTTCTCACTCACATTTCGTGCAACACAGTCACACGTAGACGACCGCATACATCACTTCAGCCATCAGCATACTGAGGTCGTCTAATTGGCCAGGACATGGAGGCAACTCGCAAGACTTGTTCACTGAGACCGTGATGTTTCTAGTGCATAAACAGCTTATCTAATTGGCCGATGACAGGTGATAGTCCTCTACCACACTTTGTCCAGAGCGTAACAGCGCATACTCATGTGAATTACAACAACAGCCATGTTAACTTCCCCTCCTAGACACGCTCCGTGATCTCCCCTCCTCCAACAGCATCAAAGAACGCATCGGCCAGGTATCCGCCACGAGATGTCGGCTTCCCATACATATCGGTGGCCATGCTCGCGATCGCGGGAGCAGCCACATCCCGCATGTAACCGGCAATCCCTTTCCTTTTGGACCTCTCCGCAAACTTCTTGGCATGCAGGCTCAAGCCCTGCGTGGCCCAAATTGGCTGTACCTGCCACACGATGCCCATCTTTGCAATGTCCGCGGGGAAGGTCTCGACTTCTTCCGGAGAGTATCCGCCCTTGCTGAAGTCGTATGCGCCAGTGTATCCAAAGGCAAAGAGGCGTTTTGGGTAAGCCTCTCTCAAGGCGGTATGGAATTCGTGCATGTCTTCCTTGTCTGTGACATTATCTGTCAGCGCACACAGGTTTCTAGGAGAATACTCAACCTTGGCTGTAAGACATACTTGGTTTATCTACATCAAGTTGGTCAGGCGACTGGGTGCTAAGGGGATGGGGTAACCTGCCTTGACGGCTCCATGTAACGTCTCCCAAGGGGGCTGCGAGAATACATCGGTCAATGACAGCCTTTGTACTCCACTGCCACATGTACTGGCCAAGAGGTGTCCTTGAAAGTTCCCAGTCGAACGTGAGGTCCTTCCCGAGAATACGCTTAACGGTTGCTCGCCGGTCTTGCAACGCTACGACTGCGTCTCCAATCTCTTTTATGTAGGCATTGTACTGCTCCTCGGTCGCTGTGGACTTGACGGCCTCGCCAAAGGTCATCAATCCAGCCGAGGCTTTCCACTCGCTTCTGACTGCAAGGTAACCTTTTCCCGCAAGCTTTCCAGCCTCCAGAGCTTGGATAAAGGAAGAGACCACTTTAGTCGCTCCAAGAACATAAGGGTGGTCTCTGGGGTCAATCACACTTAAGAAAGGTCAGCCAGCATCCCAAAACCAAGGGTTCCTCATCCTACCTCGTGATGAACTCAGCATGGTCGCTATCACATCGGCATAAGAGCATCGTGTCCGCCCTGTTGGCCAAGTATTAGTCTGTCTTCTCTATTGTGTTTGGACAAGTATATACTGACCCCATGATATCGAAAGTCATCCTGACAGTCGTCAACCTGGACAAGTAGTCCGATGTGGGGACAATAGTACGACCCTCGCCGTTCGTGAACTTCTTCAGACCCATGGCAAGATCATCTATGTGTATCATGGCAACCCCAGCTTCAACAAAGCTGCGAGTCAACTTCATGCAGCCAGTCAGTGTCCCGAATCCCATATCGGCATCGGCGACGATAGGTAGCATGTAGTCGATGCATTCTAATGACTCACGGTCGGTTTCGGGGTATCTCATCCGCAGCTGAGTTTGGCGCTGGTCGTGAAAGAGTTGCGTGTTGAAAATACGCTTTACGACGGATGGAACCAAGTCTGCGGGATAGTCTGCATGGTCTTCGCCTGGCCATGTTGCCTGCGACAGTCCACAGAGAGCCCCGGATACGTAAACTGTCTGCACTAGTCATGAACAAGTCAGCAAAGTTGGCAGCCATCGTTTCGAAGTTTCTTACTTGAGCTGGCCATCTCCTTCGCAATTAGGGGCTCGGTAGTGCCAAATGTCAGTTCGTAGGTGCCGTTCTCATTGTGCTCGTTGAGGATGCGCCAAAGCTTCCTACCCTGGACGCTCGATGGGTACTCGATCTTGAATCCAATATTTCGCAGGGCGGCAATTGACTTCGCTGTGTACGCCCTGATACTTTTTTAGCGTTTTTTCACGTATCCAAATTAAGGCTATGTACCTCTTAATGTGCTTCTGTCTGTCTGATTTCCACCATGCTTCGATTTCACGGACCTCAGCCGCGAATGCCTCGCTTTCAGACTTGACGTCGCTCCACTTTGGGGACATGGCGTTCAGTAATTTGAGAAATTGATTTTCTAGATTTTTTTGGACAGTAAGTTGGGAAACTTGCTTACTGCCACTTCCATTGCTATGGCTGGGACATGGCTCCTTTTTTCCCTCCTCTTTCATGCTACAGGATCCAACCATCATTATTTCCGTCACTTCGGCCCGGTCTCAAGATATCGCGGGTAAAGAAATCCGATCTTTCATTATTTCCTGTCAAGATGATGCAGAGATGATCCTGCAATATGCCGTTAATCAGATAAGTGATAGCAATGAGGCCACCCATCGGCGCCATCGGGGTCCTGCCGGAGCCTCTCGCCTAGCGCCCGAGGAAGCGGAGAGGATCCCGGCAAAAGTCGGGGTCCGCCCGATAAGATCACTGCCTGGGAGGCGGAGGAAGACCATATTGTCTGCTCATACTTTTGAAGAAGTAAACTGGCAAGACCATGTGAGAATTCCGAACCATCGACGGAAACATTGGCTTAACCACAGCTTACAGTGACGAACTTCGTTATGGGCAGTAAGACTACTGCGGCGCCATCTAGCCCCCCCTCGCTCATCAACCTGCAGCTGGGCTGGCCCTCCCCTCGACTCTTTGCAGCAAGCGCTCTCTTAGATGGCGCAACCCAAGTCCTGACCTCGGAATCCGAGAGTGCAGCAGCACTCATATACGGCCCTCACATTGGGCATCCTCCACTCCGGAAGAGCATTGCAGAATGGCTGTCTTCCGTCTACGGCACCTAGATAGACTACGAGAGAATCTCCATCAACAACGGCGCGTCCGGCAACCTGTCGAATGTACTGTTGAAGTTTACAGACCCCCTATACACACGCAAAATCTTCATGGTTGAGCCGACGTACTTTTTGGCCTGTCCAATCTTTGAAGACAACGGTTTCCAGGGTAAGCTTGCGGGAGTGCCTGAGAATGATTCAGAAGGTGTAGACATTGCCTTTCTGCGTCGCGAGCTAGCCGCTACCGAAGCTCAAGCCGTTGAGGATGCTGAGAAGCTCGGCCAACCCGCCATCCCTACTATCAAAGTGGGAAAGACATACTCAAAAATCTATAAATATGTCATTTACATCGTTCCAACCTTTTCGAATCCCAGCGGAAAGACGCTTTGCCCCCAGACCCGCAAGGACCTTGTCGCGCTCGCCCGAGAATACGATGCCCTCATCGTATCAGACGATGTCTATGACTTTCTGAGCTGGCCTGAGGACTCATCCGCTCCAGATGACGCAGTCGGAGCTGTGCCGCCGAGGCTCGTCGACATAGATCGCAACATGCCCGGCTACAGCACATGGGGAAACACCCTCAGCAACGGATCTTTCTCTAAGGTTATCGGGCCCGGTGTCAGAGTGGGCTGGGCGGATGGCACGCTGGCGTTCGCCAAAGAGTTGGCCGAGGTGTAAGTATCGGCTCTGAAGTTGTCCATGCAACAAACCAAGTGCGATGGTACTAACTCCTACTCAGAGGATCTTCTAGCTCTGGTGGCGCACCTTCGCACCTCACTTCCACCTTCGTCGACAAGATGCTGCGAAGCAGAAGTCTGCAGACACATATAGAAAAGACTCTCATACCGACATATCGTGAGAGGTACTACGCCCTCATGACCTCTATCCGCGATCTTTTAGTACCATTGGGTGTCACAGTGGAGGGCAATAACCCAGGACATACCGCGGAAACGACGGCAGGAGGCTTCTTCACATACCTGCGACTTCCAGAAGACCTTCCGGTGGCACGAACAGTGGCAGCCATTGCCCTAAAAGAGAAACTACTCCGCGTCGCATTCGGACACATGTTTGTAGTCAGTGGGGACAATGGTAGTGTTCAGAGAGCAGAGTCGAAGGGTGGCTTTTCCAGATGTATCAGACTTTGCTGGGCATGGCATGAGGTAGCCGAGATCAAGGAAGGTATTGAGAGACTAGCGGCTACCATTTTGGATATCAGATTTAGGTTGGAAGCTGGCGAAGACATGAGTGAGCAGGTCTCCATCGGAATTAGGTAGTTGCGGAAAATATGAATTCTGATTTTCAGCACTTCGTGCTTAGACGCTCTCCAATTAGATCCCTTGACGCATAGGTGACACCTGTGGTCGAGACCTGGCATGGATCACGTCTGTGTAGACGCCAAAAATACTCCGATAAAGTATCCTTAAAGTGAAACAGGCTTCACCTTGCTGATTGTATGGTGTCCCATGGCAGCCACTCGAGTATCAAGCTTAATGCAGCTGTAGAGCATATTCAAAGGGCATACCGGTAGACTTGAGCTCGGAACGTCCAGGCAGCATATCGTTAAACTAGAATCAACTCAATATAATTCTTGCATCAGACACTGATCTACTTCACCAATCTTCGAAATTTCCAATGATCTCCTAGACTTTTCAGATTGGTAGCATAACAGTGCTAGCTGTGACTTGGAACCACGAGTGCCACCATTTACGTCCAACCCTGGGTTTGCCCCTCCAATATTCACTGCCCAAATGATACTGGAAGAGTTCCTGCCTGGTTCAATAGCTCCGGAAAGTCTCCCCTCCATTTCTTTCTCCTTCTTGTCCACTTCTCCCTCCACGACAGTTTCGGAAGCAGGCTGTTCGTCAGCAGCCTGTGCCTCTTGTCGCAACTGACGCTTATGCAAGAAGTCCGCAATGACTGGAAGGTTTGCCTGTCAGTTTATCCTGAAGGTCGCACTTGGAGGTCGTGTAAATGGGGGGAACTTACGGACTAAAACCACAGCCGCGAGCGCGAATGACAATATAGAGGGGAAGCCACGCTTGAAAGTGGGTGCCATAGTCTGTGGGAAGATGAGGATAGGCAAGAAGGAGTCTACATTGTTAGTCAATTTGCAAGGAAAAGGTCTGTTGCCTTTTAGGTTTGTCTTACTAGTCGCGTAGAACAGTCCATTCATGCTGGAAATCGTCAAAGCACGCTCTTCCGCGTTCCCATTGTTCACCTCATTCGCCCAAGTCTGTATTCCGGTTAGTCTCACCAATCACTCCGCTAGCACTTATATCCTAACGTCGACTTACTCAAGTAACAGCCGTAACATAACCGCAAGACACAAGAAAGAAACCGGCTACCCGCGCAGCATCCGTCGGCGGGTACGCAGTAAGGATGGAAGAGCCGGCGACAGTCGTGCCCATCTGGCATTGTCCGCCGCCCGTCAGCAAACTTCGCCAAAAACTTCTAGAACAGGGGCGTTCCTTACAAGAGGACCAATAATCCATAAGGGCCTGTTACCAGTCAGGTCCGACATGAAGCCCCACGCAAAGTCCGTGACCATGGTGACGAGATTGGCGCACGCCGGGATGACGTTGCGTTGGGTGACGCTGTACCCGTTCTCGCCTACAGCGTGTCAGTCGATGTTGAACAAGCATGAGAATCTGGGAGGATGTCGTCGTACGGAGGTAAATGGCAAAGTAGTTGTTGGCCTGGCACGAGTTGCCGTACTGGTTGGCGGGGAATTTGTCAGAATGGTCAAAGACTCCAACACAATATGATTACACGTGCATTGGGAGGATGACTTACAAAGATGTACATCAAGCACAAGATCCACCAGCGCCAGTTCCCGAACATGCGCTTCAGGAGCTTCATGTCCACGACTCCTGTAATCTCGGCCTTACCCTGCTTTGCCGCACGCTGCATCGCAATCTGCTTGTCCTCCTCCGTGATGTACCACGCAGTCGTGTTATGCGGGTAATCAGGAAGCAGCCACCACACGGAGAGAGCAACAGGGAGTGACATGCAACCGCAAACTACGTAATCACGGGATCAGCTAACTTTCCCTTCCAACCAGACTGCTGATAAGAGCCAACCAAGTCTCTCACCCCAGGATTTGAGGGGCACTTACCAATATACATCCACCTCCAACCCGCCATACCTAAATGCCCATCCAGAGATTTGTGAATACCAGCTTGCAGGAACCCAGACGTCGCCTGCCCAAAGAAACCGGTGATATGCCAGATCGCCACGCGCTTCGCGAGCTCGGGCTTGGTGTACCACGATCCGAGGAGGAAGATGATGATGGGCGAGAAGCCGGACTCGAAGAGTCCGATCATGAAGCGGAAGGCGTACATGTGGTTGCTGCTTTGAGCTGCGGCTTGGGCAAAGCTGTTGAGTCACGAGAGAATGTTAGCATTTGAGAGTCAAGACCGACTGGATTCGTCCGTGATGTGTGCGACAAGGGAAGGCTGAGGCATACGTGAAGGCTGTCCATCCGAGTTCGCAAAACACGATGCAGTAGCGAGGACGGATCTTGAGTGCGATCAAGTTTGAAGGGATTTGCATGATGGCGAAGGCAATGGTGTAGCACACTAGTCTCCTGTCAGTCCGCACCCACCAAGCACTTGCCCCTCATCGGTTCAGGAATCAACTGACTGAGCATATAAGTGTACTCGTTTCCCTGGATCTTCAGGTCCTCTTTCATCCCGCTGACATCTATGATTTTGTGTTAAGCCCACATCGCCCCTTTACCGTGGGTTGTCATAACTCACAGGCATTTGTGATGTTGCTCTGGTCAATGTATTTCATCCACTTGATCAAATTAGCCACTTACAACTCGAACACAACCCAGCGCTGAACTTACCCAGCCGAGAGTTGCGCAAATCAAGATGCCGAAATCCAGCTTCCGAACCAAAGCGCGTTCCTATCACACTCCAGTCAGTTCCCGCCATCAAGGCACTAGGGACACGGGTTGATTGGTAGCCATACCTGGGGGCTCTTGAGATACTGATCAGCGTCCCAAAGGTGATAGAGAATCTTCCTCGCCCAAGAGACATTCTGAGGCGCATCCTCGTGGACGCCAACGCCGACGTCTGATGTTGTCGACGTAGCCGAGTTGACCTCGTGGGTCTTCTTCTCGCCATCCATGGTAGTAGCAAGTGAAAGCGTTCCAACTTCTACAGGCAAATGGGTAGGACCACTGTTCGGACTTTCAAGTTTCTTCCGGGGAAGAGGATGGAGAGCTGTCAAGTTGCAAGTCAGACCGAGATACACCGTGAAGTTTAAGTGTTCCCTCAACTCAAGAGTCGATCTTGATACCACCTCGCCCCCAGGACCCCCAAACTCCGTGCCCGGATCAAGATAACCAGGAACGACAAGCCATCCCCCTCGGCAAGGCCCTCACCCAACCGATACAAGATTGGCCATTGCTCTCCTAGGATAACATGCGTGCAATCCCCATCCCCAACAACACGCGGCAATACTATCAGCACATCGCGTGTTAGTGGGCCATCGGCATCCTCCCCGCCCCTGTCCCGAAGATAAGCTGCAGGCATGCTCATGGATGATGGAGTGCGACGTCGTCGGACAATGCCCGATCTCTATTCCCCGCATTCTTATCGAATCACCCCCGGATAAGGACCATCCGCTCCGTCCGGTAAATCGGGCGCTAGGAGCCGACTTTCGGGATGATGGGATACTAAGGCGGGGTGGGGTGGTGTAAGTCAGGACCGTCCTAAGCTTGTCAGAAACGATTACAACTCACAGCATCCAGATGCAAGCTGCTGATGTTCTCGATAACACTCTTTGATCAAGTAAACCTACCCACAACACCATCAAACATAGCTCCAAGCACATCATCCTCTCAAGATCCAAATTTCCAGTATCTCGACATTCCCAAGACAGCAGACTCCTCCCTTAATCACCGTCCACACAACCGAACCCTCCAAGGCCCAACATGTCCTCACCCACGGCCCACGAGCAGCAACTCGCCCTCGCCCGCGAAGCCTGCCGCCCAAACCTCGTCAAGAACCTCATGCTCCAAAACAGACTCGCCCACTCCTTTGGCCTCCGCGTCGCCTTCTCCACCGAGATGCCCCTCGTCGCCAAGCGCGCGGGTTACTCGGCCGTGCTCATGAACCTCGAGCACATGGCCATGAGCATGGAGACCATGAAGGATATCGCCGTCTCGTGTCTGAATGTTGGGTAAATGCCGGCCAGAGAATCCGACCCTGATGTACGTACTAATCATGGCAAAAAAAAAAGCATCACACCAACCGTAGTCGTGCCAACATGCGCCCCCGAATGGATCTCCCGCTGCCTCGACTCCGGAGCCCAAGCCATCATCGTGCCGCACGTAAACACCGTCGAGCAAGCAAATATGTGCGTCAGCGCATCAAAGTTTCCACCTCTGGTACGTTGGCCTCTTCCGCTTCCCCGTCTATCCTACAAGTCAAATTTCGACGGAAAACCTCGCGGCTTACACAGGAGGGAAATCTGTAGGGCCACCGCTCCGTGACAATGGTCACGGCAATGACGCAGTACACGACGACGCTATCCTACGCGGCCATCGCCGAGGTAGTCAACGACGAGGTCCTCATCATGCCCATGATTGAGACCAAAGAAGGCGTCGAGAATGTAGAGTTAGTCGCCTCCCCGGTCTCATAGAGCAAGGCGAATCAACGTATTTGAAGTTTGTTGAGGTTAATTAAATTCACAGAGCCATCGCCGCCGTACCGGGTATCGATGCATTGTTCATCGGCTGCGCAGATCTCTGCATGGAGTTGGTCAACACTGATTTCCGCCGGAGAAACCGACGCATGTTTGAGACTTGGAGACTGAAGCTAACCTGTGATTTTACAGGCTTGGAATTCCTGGACAATACGACTCAGAACTCTTCCGCTCCACCGTCGCCAAAATTGCAAATGCAGCAGAAAAGGCGAGCGTAGACGGGCGCAAGGTATTCGTGGGACTCGGCGGACTGGAACCGAGACCAGACCTCCTGGAGGAACTGGCGAAACGCCATGCTCCTATTCGGTAAGTGGTTCCTCGCGTTGGTGTCCCGTTCGTTTGATGTGGTAATTCGCTAACATGTTCGACCTTAGATTCGCAATGGCAGGCCGTGATCTAGCCCTTTTACTCGCAGGCATGTCAAAACAAGCGGCAGCGATGAACGAGATTTCAAACAAACTCCAATAGTTATTTTAGCCAACCCCAAAGAAGAAAAAGCAGACAAGAGAAACCCCCTAGCAGAAAAAGACTATGGCCACTAAAACACGAACCGGCCAGACCCGAACTCCGCCGAACTAATCACTGGCTTCCAAACCCCGGGTTGCAAAACATTCTCGCTCGCAATGCAAAAGAGGGTAAAATGATTTTCTTGAAAGAGTCGTATCGTCGTTGGTAAGGTGTCAAGTATTGTGGTCGGTGAAGGCGTGACGAATGAAGACTACTCGTCTCTCCACTCGTTTTCGGCATTTTCGACATTTCTGAGCGAAGAGGGCTCAATCCGACTGGATCCGTTGCGGATACGGCCCCGTTGTCCCTCCCCTGTGGTGCCATAATGAGGGTTCAGGTCGCTGTACCTCACAATGTCTTCAGACTCCTCACCACTGTCATGGGCTGAGTGTGTGGAAATCGTAGCAGTGAGAAGTGGTCTACGCTGGCGCTCTTCGATCGGACGCTCTGAGAGATGGCTCCAGGGTTGTGCCCACCATGCGTGTCTCCAGTTGCTGGCACTCTGCATAAACAGCAGCGTCAGAACCTGTGACGAGAGTCTAGTTAGCCCAGAACGGCTGTGGCCTGCTATATATCTATGTCAGACATACCTGTAGCACACCAACGGTGATGACGATGCCCAAGTCGATGGAGGAATTCCGCACCGTTGCGTCCCTCCACGGTCCGATGCAGGCGGTATCGCGACCAGTGATCTCGGCACACCGGGCATTAGCACCGAATGGCCAACCGCGGTCCTTGATGCTGTTCAGGCCACAGCAATTAAAGCTGTCCTGGATGCGCCTGATGGTCGACTCATCCTTGGCGACAAACATGCGCTGCCAGCTGGTAGATAGTGCGCAGTTTAGGCCATCGCCGGGTAGAGCGGTCTGTAAGAGGATAACGGCAACAGCGGTGGTCAAGATGCCTTGAAGTGTCTGGATGATGGTAGGAAACAGCTGCTCGGTTCGAGCGAGAGAGCTGCTCGCATTGAACAGCAGGCGCGGATAGTAAAATGCGTTGATAGTGCCAAGGATGGGCAGTAGAATCGGAAGCAGAGACAAGAACGGCGAGATAGGAAGGGCGAGATTGGTGCTCGTAACGTGAACGACGCTGTGAAATGATTAACGGGGAAATTTGCGGTCGGTGATGTTTGAGGACTCACATGGCCGTCGTCAGCAGTCCGATGCAGATCTGTAGAGATATTCTGGTTAGATATTTGCTTGATAATTATCATTCGTTTTGAATGGTGTTAGTGGTGGATGCCGGCTGTTGGGCTTACCAGCAGAAACACTACGCCCGGATTAACCCCCATGATGAGCTTTTGACGACGAACAAGCGCGCAACAACACCAGATCGCTTCCGACCGTTGGAATGAAATTTGTTTAGCAATCAGAACTGGAACATCGATGAGAGGGCGTCTGGCTTCACATGTGAATAAGTAGTAGACGAAAGGAAGAGAGCGTGAGTTGGGAAGAAAAAGAACGGGAAGAGGGAGGGTGTGGCGCCGTTCATCGCCGCTCCAAGGGGACCCCAAGGGACCCAAAGGTGCCGATCGCTGCGCTGGGGTGGGAAGCTGCTTGATGCGGCCAAAATCGAGCATGCCCATATGCGGCACCGGCAGCGTTGGCAGCGAGCAAGCGCCCACAAGCACCGACGCCAGACGGTAGCCGTCGTCCCAAATCTCTCCAAAAGGACTTTGCCGTAGTCTTCCGACGTCATGGCTCAACCCTCCGAGAAGCTTATTCCCTCAAACTCCAGCACGCCATAGGCTGGAGGCACTTTCGTACGAGCGACCAGTCATCTCTGCAGACTGGGTGAATCTGGTCTTGGGAGCACCCTGGATGACTGGATGCCGCCGTGTAGCACCAGATGGACACACCAATGCTGGAGGCCCAACACCAGTGTGTCAGTATGCCATCCAGAGAAGAAACAGAGGATGTGTGTGTGTGTGTGTGTGTGTGTGTGTGTGTGTGTGTGTGTGCGAATCTGCAAGAGACTGTTGGACCCCACATGCCGTACGACCAGCGACCGCATTCACGGAGGCGCAGGCCGCCCATCCCGCAACCCTCCAATGCCGATCCAACGCTCTTCCAGCTATCTCTGACCCGAGTGTCGAAGGCGAGATGTGTTGTCTTGATTATATCCCATGCACTCGTCCATCAAATGACACGACGGGACTGATTGTTTTCTGTCGTTGCCGCGCTGTCCACCCACAGCCTTCTGGCGGTGTGTCGGACGATGGATTCGACTCCAACCTCCTCACTCTCTTCCTGGTGAAGAGGGAGGCAGGCAGACTCCTCGCGCGCATCCGTCAGTCTTTGAAAGAGTGCAGGGTAAGCTGATGATGACGCCAGCGGCAGGGAGGCAGCTTTCGGGAAGCTGTCTCGCTGTCCAGACTCCTCCATGGCCCCATCGAGATGCTTGCTACCCTTGCAGTAGTGCTCCGTGCGTTCGCGTTAGCCCTCTCGATGGTTCTTTTTTTCGCACATGCATCGCCAGGTCAACAACCCTCCGAGCTGCATTTGGTTCGCCTGCCAATGGTGGTGAGGAATGCTTCAAATCCCCAGGCCCATCCTATCGTTTGCGGCCGCAGGCAGGAATAAAAACTGAGACATCTCCAAACGTTCTCGCCCGCCTGAAGGACTCTTCGACATGTCGCTGCCTGAGGTAAGTAGGTATCAGGCTCGGCGCTGGTGTCTGGCTGCCGCCTGAAGTGGCTAGGTATTCAAGGACACAGCCCACGAGGCCGGGGACTTTTCAATGCGAATTCGAATGGGCCAAAGATCATAAGGCCTGGATATGCGGTTTGACACCAAGGAGCCGAGAATTGTGTTGCGAGACAGAGGTGCACTGCAGCCGAATAATTATTGAAGGCCGATACCAACCCTGGCCAGGCAAGTCCATATACCGCAGTACCAACTAAGACAAGCAGCTAGCTATCTCCGGAGCATGCGTGGGGTCGTATTGGAGGAGGCCGCACTCTGCCTAACATTTCCAGAGACGTTTGTTGGTATGGCCACTTAGTTGCATGCCAGTACCTACCTAGTCAACGAGGTTCATGGCGTTCAATCGAGGTTGGAGGCAGAAGGAGATGCCACGAGGTCTAGGGGCGTAACAAGGAGTTTGGGGGCGGAACCACAACCGTAGAGGAGCGTCAACTTGCAGCATGGGCGGACCCACAAGGCTGAATGATTGTTTCCAGATGCCGCCCGGCTCCCAAGATGCCCAGCCGGTAAAGAGTCGCCGAGGTGGAGCATGATTCTAGCGAGAGAACCGGCTTGGATGGGAACGCTGACGACGCTGCCATGAGGGAGCTCGGGTGGTACCGTAGTAATCTTGGCCTTTCCTCGAAGACGCTTGAATGACAAGTGTCTTGGGGGTCTGATTGGTTGTATTCACTGCTCGAAGCATCGTCTGACATTGTTCAGTAGATGACCGAACTCAATCGTTCGGATTCTTTACGTTGATGCCGTGGAGAGAGAGCATCGCCAGCCCAACGGTGCCATCGGAAACCACCAATCGCCGTACTGACAGTCGAATGTCAGGCATGTATGAAGATTCCGGGCATTGGAGTGGATAGTTGATCAGCTGTAAACGAAGCGCGGCCGATCATCAAGCGCCATCTGATAGTGGTGTTCGTGTGTTGAGACGAACTTGACCAAGAGCTGTAGGCTCCAAGCTAAGAGAACATTGGGAAGCGCAAGGACCTGGGGAGACTGAGTGCCGGGACTTATGTAAGCTGCACTCTAGCCGAATAAGGGAGACAGACTTAAATTCAATTCGTCAAAGCTGCTGGAGCTGCCCGCCAATCTAATCTTAGCGTCTCCACTCCGCAACCCCTCCATTGGAGAAGGTGCGGCAGGTGTGGCAGCAGGAGCTGAGCTGACGGGAAGGAGGGGCAACCGCAGTCCTGAGTCCACAGCTTGTTCCTGCCACCTGCTGTTGCGCTGCTGCTACCTTACGCGGTGTGCATCAGCCAAGATTGACGTCGTCGTTTTCCACCATCTTCTTGCCGGATTTCCTGTTTGCGACCATCTCAATCCCTCCCTTTAACAACTACACATACCCCGCGTACCCAGTGGACATCTCGAGTCAGAATCATCGTCCTCACTTCCGGAAGGGGCAATCCAAAGAGACAACCGCCGCAGATACGTCACCAACAATGGCTTCACTAACCTCAAAGTTCGCCAATCTCAATCCCTTCTCCAAGTCGGCGCCAGAAGATGAGGAGGAGCTTGGCGATGCGACCGACAACACCACCTTGGCTGGTGGAGGCCACGCTGCGCGCGACTCCGACGTTAAGCACCGTCTCCGCGTGAGCCGTGCCATCAAGTCTTTCCTCGTCGATCAGAAGGCCATCTCCTCCAAGGAAGCAAACGTCGACTCAGAACAGCTCACCCCTGAGCTGCAGGCCCTCGTGTACAAGCCTCACATCAGCGTACCCCGCGAGCTTACTGATAGATCCCACCCATTGCCCGAGTACTTCATCAGCTCCAGCCACAACACCTACCTCTTGGCCCACCAGCTTTATGGAAGCTCTTCGGCAGAGGCCTATGACGAGACGTTGCGTGCTGGCGCGCGATGCGTTGAGATCGATGCCTGGGATAACCCCGACAACAAGGACGAACCCAAGGTCACCCACGGATACACCCTAGTCTCCAATATCCCTTTCCGCACCGTCTGCGAGACCATCCGGGATGTCGTCGACCAAGAAGCCAAGGAACCCCATCCCGCTGCGCCAATCCTCCTGTCTCTCGAGAACCACTGTGACCCCGAGGGTCAGCTGCGCCTGGCATTCATCATGAGAGAGGTCTTTGGAGACCGCCTTCTTAGCCAAGCAATCAGAGAAAAGGGCCACGCCGAGCAGGAGGGCCAGGCCAACCACGTCCGTCTGGAGGAACTCGGCAACAAGATTGTTGTCATTGTCGAATATCACTTTCCTGGGGAGACCGACGACAGTAGCTCGAGCTCAAGTGAGGATGAGGAAGAGGACAAGAAGGCCAAGAGAGACTACAAGGAGAAAAAGAAGGCTGCGCCTGCTTCGCTGATTGTCCCCGAATTGGAGGCACTCGGTGTCTACGCACAGTCCGTCAAGCCCATCAACAACTCGTGGTTTGAGGAGGTTCTGCAAGATGCGCCGCATCACCACCTCATCAACGTCTCCGAGTCTGGGCTGGCCTCCCATCTGCCGACGCACACTGACAAAATCTCTCGCCACAATGCTCACCATCTGATGCGTGTTTTCCCCAAGGGAACTCGCATCTCATCCAAGAATCTCCATCCCGTTCCCTTTTGGGGAATTGGCGCCCAAATTTGTGCCCTCAACTGGCAGACCTTTGGAGCATCAATGCAGCTGAATGAGGCTTTATTCGCTGGTTCTGAGGGTTTTATTCTGAAGCCCGCCGAGCTCCGGCCCGGTGGCTCGGGCAACCTCGGTAACGGAAGGAAGCGAAAGCTCTGTCTGCACGTCGGCGGTGCCACCGACATTCCCGTGCCGGCCGATCGCGACGAAGATGAGACAATCAAGCCCTACCTCACGTGCACACTTGTGCATCCTCACGATCTCGATATCAAGCCTCCAAAGAGGAAAACGGCCGGCTACAAACAGCACAAGCTGACGGGCTTCTTGCACAAGGGAGAGAACCCACCTCCCACCGACCCGCTGTGGGACGAGGTCCTGGAGTGGGAATACCAAGACAACGAAATGGTCTTTTTGCGGATGCTCATCAAGAGTGATGACAGCTTCTCCAAGAACCCAATCTTTGCTGTTGGCGCAGTACGACTGCTCTACACGATCCCGGGCTGGGTCTTTATCCGCATGCTTGATCTCAAAGGAAGAGAAACCAAGTGCTCCATACTTGTCAAATTTGAAGTTGTCGACGCGTAAAAGTAGCCATATAAACGCTGAATGCCTCGGGTTCTCTCGGAACTTCATTAATATACCACATTTGTATTTACCTGCCCCATCATTGCAAGCACTGATGCGCGCTGGAACCCATCGTGGCAAGGGTCGTATGAATCTTTACCTAGTTGCACAGCATCTTCACAGAAGCAGACCGCCATGGATCCGATTTAGGCAATATATAGACATAGCTTCACTCATACGCGCGCATCATGCGATACGACCGGCGGCACATGGCAAGACCTCGTCTCAATCCCGAGCCTCACCCACCAAGAAACCGCCGCCATCGAAAGGGGCTTTTGACCCGAGGCAGAGACATAGATGGCATTGAGGCCTATGAGTATTCGCTGTTATGATCGGTGATGTGGTGATTGATTACGGTTATGTGATGGACGCATTCCACCCGTGATCGTGTACTGGACTACACAAGACTGTGGCAAAGGTGAGAGAGGTGGGTTTTCGGGAAGGATTCAAAGGATTTGGATTCATGTAGAGCAAAGACCTCACCCTGGTCTATCGCTTAATGAGACGGGGAAACACTCAATTCTTTTCGCATCTAATTACACGGATATAGTCAGCATCAACACTCTTATGACTGGACATTATTAAGAATCGTCAGAGAAAGAAGAAAGACAATATGGTGCGAGGCAGGAAACAGTTGCTATTTAGAACATACCGTCTATCCTCCAAGAAAAGCCTCGACAAACAAGCATCCTCCCTCTACATCACACGCGCCCTATCCGTAGGCCCCGAACAAATACTCCACCGAATAAACGCTCGCTTACCCTCCAACACGCGGGAAGCCTCGCCTGGCTCACCTGGCATGAACAGACTTTACCCGCCGCGCCCGCCGCCCACCATCCATCCATCCCCGTCGGCTAGGGAAGAACCCGACTTTTAGTCGAACCTTGAAGGTGCGGGAGGCTGATGAACGGGAAAGAGAGTACGAGGCTCTTCTAGGTGTATCCTTGCGTCGTTTATCTGGGTTACCTGGTTGATGAGTGCCGGTTTACTTACCAACTAATAGGTTGCGAGTTCCCCCGTTCCAGGTTCATCGCTTTCGTAAGTTTATCCACCGGCGGCCATCCGAAATCTAGATAAAACTGATTTGCCGTTCTTGATCACACTCGCCTCTAATTTCTCTTGCGGTCTGCCTCGTACAAATTTGTCAGCTTATTAAGATGACGGTATCCAGTTGGTGGAATCTCACAAATTCCACAATACTCCTCTTCCGGACCTTGACAACTCGCAATTCCATCCGAGCACCATCTCATCCGCCCGCCCTCCGCTTCCGCAGCCGTGACGCGGTCCCACACCCACCCACACACGGCCCCGAACGGAGTCCAGTTCATCTACAGTGGTGACAACTGCCCCGTACGCCTCGACCACCAAGGCCAACAAGCGGCCCTCCCAAAAGCCCAAAAACTCAAATCACCGCTGAAATCCGAACTTCACAAAGGCCGGCCCTTTTTAGGTGGCCTGAAGGTGGGTTGGGAAGAAAAACTTAATCACATGAAGTGGAAAAGAGAGACCCTTTCCATTTGGAAGGGAAGAGTTGAACTCACGCAAGAGCCAACACCACCCACTCTGCTACTGAGGTACCGAGAGGGAGGGACGGAACACAGACTGGGAGGAACGGCCGCGTTGCGAGCAGTTTGAGAAAGGTTGGGATGATTCGTGGACAGCCCTTTCCGCGGGCAGCCTGTGTTTGTGTGTACCTGGTTCGTGCTCTATGTCGAGCGGCGCCGAGTCGGCGAGTGCTTTCGATGCTCTGTTCATTCAGTAGTAACATAGCAGAGGTGATCTGTGAGAGCACTCAGTTGACTGCTCAAAACGAAGTTCCAGCGATGAGAATAATGTAACATTTTGTGAAATTGTTCAACACAGCATCACGTCTCCATGTAGTTGTGGTGATCATTCGAGAAACATACTGCACTCGAGCCAACTCTACAAGCACAGAAATCACAGCAAATAGTAAAAACAAATCAGTGAAGTGAATGAAAGACGTTCAAATCGTCTACAGCTGTAATTTGCTGCTATGCTATCTTGCATCATCAAAAGTTCACCCCCGCATCCTGCGTCCTATACGTCCTCGTCACCCTCGGATCCCACTTCATCTTATTCTGCCTCTCGAGCTCCTGCTGCCTCTCCACCTCCAACTCATCAATCTGCGCAAAATTGCGCTTGCTGCGGAACGGCCACCTGCCTTTACGGTACAGCATCCCAATCACCAACCCGAAAATCAGAACCCCGCCCACCGAACCTAACGCGATGGGCAGCGCCGGCATCAGCTTCACGTTGCTGCCGCCCGAGGTCTCGGCTTGGCTGGGCGAGGCGATGCCGCCGCTGCCGCTGTTGGCGTTGCCGCTCGGTGTGGGTGTTGGCGTGGGTGTCGGAATGAGGCTGAGAAGGGGCGTGGTTTCTGGTATCACAGGGGCTGGAGGCGGGGGGATGAAGGACGGTGTTGGCGTGGGGATTAGGTCGCCGCCGCCTGGTGTTGAGATGGGTATCACGCCGGGGATGGATGTTGGTGAGGGGAGTGGTGGCGGGTCGGAGAGGGATGGTGTGGGTGTTGATGTTGCGTTTGTGGTGGTTGAGATGATGAAGGTTGTGAGAGGGCGGGCGGAACTTGATGGTGGTGGTGGAGGCGGAGGCGGCGGTGGTGGTGCTGATGGTGTTGGTGAAGGCGTCTGTGAGGGCGTTGGTGTGTTTTGCCTTATTGGTGCTGATGATGAGGAGGATGAGGCTCTAGCAGGCAATGATGATGATGGCGTCGCCTTTATTGAGGGTGTTGGTGTTGTTTGTGCCCTCGTTGCTTCGCTCAGGGTGTTTGGTGTTCCTGTTCCTACTCCGGTTTGCCCTCCCAGGCTCGTGGGAGGGGTTTTGGCGTCGGGTTGGTTGTCGGCCATGATAATGAAGTGAGATGGTGGAGTCGTAAGAGTGGTAAATGATTATCGCTGGTCGTGATTTGTGGTATATGTTTTGGTATGAAAAGGCCGTTTGAGTATATTCGTTGCGTCGTTGCGGATTATGTTCAGTATACGTTCGAGACCCTATGGTGTTGGGGGAGATCCTCCGAATAGCCTCGTAACCAACTCGGACTATGGTGAGGTATGATGAAATCCTGACCTATAAAGCAGGTTCAATGTCCCAATGACGACTGGGTAGTGTCAGGTGACGGCGTGAGGTGGGTGGTATTTTCCGATGTAAGTCGATCCAGCGGCTCAACAATCGCCCTCTCTATTCCTCTTGTTCGTCTTCTCGACTTTTTCTTGCCAAGCCTCGGAAGCTGTCAACGTCAAGGCCAGTTCAAACAAGACAAATTAAACAATCAATCAACATCATACAATGTCAGTCCCAAAATAAGTAAAAAAGAGACCAAGGCACTTGCCGTCCCAGAAAAAGAGGGCTGGGGGACAGGAATCTTTAAACAAAGATGTGCCGGTGGCCACGTACCCCCTCCCTCTTACACTCTTCGGCGTATATTGACAGAGAGTACATGACATGGTGCCATGTATGTACATTGTGTAGGTACCACATCCCTCGTCTCTCCCTCGGTCCGTCGACCGTCGTTCACATCAAATTCTCTTACGGTTTGAACACCCCTACCCCTATCATCTGAGAAACCTTACTGTGAGAGTTTTGGCTGACGTGACGCAGAGTCGGGACAGTGAGAGAGGGAGCAACTCACACTCCTCTATCTTCCTCTCTTCCTCTGTGTGTATGAGTGTGTCAATGTCTCAATGGCACAAAGATGAATGTACCAGGGATCTCCAGGGGTCGCAACCGTCTCACAATGGTATTGATATTGATCCCTGCACGCCAGTTGGAGGCTCAAAGCGCGGCTCCGATGCACAGTCGTCTGCAGCACTAGACTCAATAAGTCTACCTACTGCTCAACTGAAAGCAAGCGTGTCAAGTCCTTCCCAAGAGCCCAAGAGGGGCACGGAATAATGTGGCCTTCGGTAGTCACGTCTTAGTCTCACTCTTATTCCCTCCCCCCTCCCGCAAAGTCCCAGGGATCTAGATTCTAAAGCCCCAATGCTTGCATGTCGGCAGGGTTGCTGCCAGCCCGTTTCAGACGTGGAATGTTTGAGTTGATCTTCTTCAGACCAATGAAACCCTCAATCCTTCCTTCGTCCCACCTTTTCTCCCGCCCTTCCGGCCGCCAAACCACCCCCTCTCCAGGTTCATCCCTCACGACCCGCCAATGTCTCTTTCAAAGTTCCATCAGCCCTTTTTCTCTGAGTCTTGAGGCTCTCAGTCTCTCGGTCTACGGGTATGAAGTCTTTCCTCCATAGACAATGGAACAGTTCGATCGGGAGCCTGAAGGGCCCCCGACTGTGTCTTAGGACCAAGTGGAGAGCCCCAACTAAACTACTGGCGTCGCATTCAAATCCGAACATTGCAACACAAAAGAGTCTATCGAACATATCCGTTCTCAATAAGGTAATCAGGGCTATCCGTATTGTCTCTCATTCCCCCAAACGAGCCACCAGAAACCGGACTAAGTTACTAACGTTAATAATCCCTGGCGACAACTGGGGAGAGAGGAAGAGCCTCCTCATCCTCATCTGCTCTTCGCATCACCCACCGCTGCCTGACCTGACGTCGGAACACCCCCGTACACGGCGTCACCTGTCAAACTCGTCCCCCAACCCTCACAAACTGGGCAAACTTCGGAAACTTGCATGATCCCCGCGTCGCAACCCATACCGACTCGTCTGTACTGCGTTACCACCCTCGGCGATCGCACACTTCATGGACAGGTTTTCCCTCGGCAGACTGCCAGACTGGTCGCTTCCTCAACCCCGATCCAGCCATCTCTTACACCGACACGCCGTCAAGCGCGGGCAATCAGGGAGACCGTAGACAAGGGGCGTTCAGGGCTTTGCACGATCTCCGTTCGGTAACCGGCCACGGAAGTTTTCTTTTTTTCCTCTGCAGGCTGCACTGGCAATCAGGCAAGACTCTTGTTGCTTTGTTGCTATCCATAGAAACCTCCACATCCTCATGCCCTACCAGGCGACAGGAAGAAACAGGGTTATCTTCAGCCTCCCCCAATGCGTTCGGTTGACTCGGCACGCTCCCCTGGTTCAGCTTGATTCTGCATAGAGATAGAGGCCTGTCGTCTCTCCTACCCCCTTCGGCAGTCAAGACTTTCTAAAACGTAGCTGTCAAAACATCCTGCGCCGGGGTGTAAGGTAGACCGTAGGAGAAGAAGAAATGGCAAGGCACCTTTCGGTCGCCCACCGAGAATCTTACGACCCAAGGCAGGGCCTTTGTTCGGGTGGTGGGCGGCCCGGATCCGAGGTCGGGCTCGTTCCGCTAGTCAAGGTTGAATTCCTCTTCTTTCCTTGATCTGGCCTATTCCGCTGAGGAGGGTAGACACGTCATGTGGTAGCACTCCGTCCCATCTTCTGGTGTGCACCCTCCTAGACTCTCACTCGGCGGATGGGACGCCAATGTCAGAGATACACTGAACGGTGATAGTGCAACTATAGTGATCGAGGGTTGCACCGTCGATCGTCTCTTCTTGGTAGCCTCGTACTCCTCGGTACCATCCACTTGAAGAAGCTACGTGGGATATCTAGAGCATAACGCGGTAAAAATGCCTATTCTAGCATGGCGCCGACATCATCGCGAGGCCTCGACCAACATTTTCTCATCATTTGAAAAATCAAGAGAAAAAAAAGCCAAGGTCCAGGAGCCTGCTTTACGGTTCATCTTTGCTTTTTGACGTTTCGAACGTATTCGGGATTTTCCTGCGCAGGACTGCAGGTGTCTGTCTCCTGCAGTTGATTGATGCCGCGAGAGGCCAGCGTCAAAGCGGCGCGGATCGGGAAACAAACGACGTACGAATCCGAACCCGCTCCACGTTTTTCTCATGTCGGCATTTGTGTAATAGCTATTCTACGCCTTAACGCTGCTTATAGTGTCGAACCGAGGGACAGAGTATTTTGGGTCGTCGTGAATCTCGTCAAAATCAAGCGAGCTTTGCGAAAACCGCGACTTTGTTTGATGATGCCTTTCAAAACACCAAACAAAAATCACAAGCTGTGCGGTGGCGGAGCAAGGGAAGAAACACCAAAAGTGACCCGTGTGTACCCCTTCAAAGAAGACTTTCAAGGAATGGCAATTGATTCCTGTAGTGGGCCAAGGTCCGGCTGGTGCCATGGTTTACTGGCTCGCGATACTATTCAGATGCTTCGGTACACTGCTGGAGATCTGTTCATCTCGCCCTTCTTCGTTCTCCATCAACTTGACTTACACGGAAATCATCTACTCCATCTTATCACCGCGCAACTCCCGGTCAGAAGAAGACGGGGAAAGAGACCCACAACTCCATAGTCCCACCGCTATCTCTCTCGAAAGCTGACTGACTGCGAGAATGCCGAGTTGGTTACCACGTAAGGATACGGATATGCTTATCAGTCGCACCATCTCCTCGGCGAGCCTCAGTTGCACGACAATCATCCATCTTTCCGTCATCACTCAAACTGCCGCCTGTAGCTGCACTGTTACCGTACACAGAGGGTTGAAGATGTAGAATGCCATCATCTCCTAAACTCCAAACAACTGGACTCTTCAGCTCTCTCCCATAAATAGAATCACCAACGCTAGGCACGGATAGAAGAAACAAGAAACACCCATCAAAGAAAGGCCATCCCCGGCGGCCATGACGCCACCGGCCCCCGCCGCCAACGGCTCCCCGTACAACCCCACAATCACCGCACCCGTGACCGAAGACCGCGGCGAACCACCGGCCAAGCGGACCAAGACGCAGGCCTGTTCACGGTGTCGTCGGCGGAAGGTACGTTGACATTTCGTTATTCATCTTTCCTTTTTTTTTTTTTTCTCCTTTCTGTTTTTTCTCTTCACTGTGTGTAAGAGCCAGAGACATCCATTTCCTGGTACCCTAAAGCAGCACCATCGCCAATTTTGAAACAACCACTCATTACCCAAGTTGGGTTGACCCTTTGACCAAGATCATCACAACTTCAAACCCCACCATCCCAAAAGAAGACGAAGCCTGGTAACAGGAAAGCTGGGAAGAGGAAACCCAGCACGCCCAGATGAGAGCAAAAAAGGTCAAGGGCTGACAATCCTTTCCCCTCTACCAGCAAAAATGCGATGATCAGAGACCCTGCGCCAACTGTGCCAGGTCGGGAGGGCAATGCAACGAGGCGGTGCTCCCGTCGTCCTATCAAGCCCGGGCCCCGGACCCCGGGTACCCTCCGCTTCAAGGTTTTCCTTCCATCTTTCCCTCCCCTGCCCAGTTGCGAAGGAGGAAACATCTAGTTTCATGTTGTTGGCTGGCTCAAAGAGAGTAGTTTGCGACGGTTGATCTCTCTCTTCGCCGATCTGGATCTGCTCATAGCCCTCCTGGTCCAAACTCATGGTATTATACTGATGCTGCGGTATCATCTCCCCCTCTAGGAGTTCAGACCATCATCTTCTTCAACACCATCATCCCTCGACGCACATACCCCTAGCATGGCTGGGTGACATCGCCTCATTGGAGGAGCGCATATCGCGTCTCGAGGAGACCAACGCTCGCTTTCAAGCGGTCGTCGATTATCGGAACAACTGTGAACGGCAACACAGCCATGCGCAAGAGCCATTCTTGCCATCATCGTCGTCCCGCGCGCATGAAGCATCTCACACACATAACCACTCAGACGAATATTACCACCACCGACGCAGAGTCTCATTCGCATCAGGACCGGGCCTCGGACCAGAAGCCTCGCTCTCTCGGAGCTCGCCCGCCATCGGCCTCTTGGCTACCTTTGCTCGCTCGGAAGAAGACAACCCACCACCACCAACACTACCTAATCCATCATTCCACGATGGCGGCAACACAGCGCGTAGACACGACCAAGAGATCCCCCTCGACACGGCAACAGAAACCTCCCTCTTCGACACCTACCAGGACAAAGTCCATTGCCGCTACCCCTTCCTCCGCCTCGACGACTTCCGCAACCCAGCACGGCGTCCCAAAAAGCATGGGCGTCCTACTTCACCAACATGATCTTCTCCATAGGCCTCCTCCTCGAGAAGCCCTATTCGCCATGCTCGTCTTCCCGTCACTCTACCCATCATTAACGCATCTCTCTTAGGGATAATCTCACCCACCAAAGCCTCTACCGCCTTGCCGTGACAAAATACCTCTCCCACGTCTTCGCCCTCCCAGACCGTCTCCTCCACATCCAGGCCTACCTCCTCCTCGCCATGCACGCGATATACTCCCCCTCCACGGAACGCATCATATCCATCGCCTCGGCGACGATGCGCTACTGCGTCATGGCTCAGCTCCACCTCGCCGACGCAGAACCGCACATCTCTCCTTCCGCTCCCTCCCCAGAGACCGCAGCAACAAAGCTGAGAATCCAAATACGCCGGCGCGTCTTCTGGTCAGCCTACACCCTGGACCGCGCCGTCGACACAACATTCGACCTCCCCTTTTCCGTCCCAGACTACCAAATCACGGTGAAGCTCTACGCAAACATCGACGACGCGGACCTCGATGCCGCATGTGAGAGGGCCTCGTTTCCAGATCGGTATCATCACCCGCGCGGCCGAACAGGCGTCTCGGCCGCCTTGCATGTAGTCTACTGCCGCCAGATCCAATCCGAGATCCTCAACACGACCCTCCACCGCGATTTTTCGACGCACTTTGACGACCTCCCTCACTGGCGGCTCCGCGTCCTCGACAAGTTGGACCGCTGGCGCGCCCTTTGTCACCGGTACGCCGATGCAGATGCTGATCCAGACGGCACCTCCGAAGATCCGGGCTTCCACTCCGGCCCCGGCCCCGGATCAAGCACTCACCTCCATTCCCGCATCCGCTCCCGCTCCCGTTCGTTCACCCACCCAGAATGGCTCCACATGATCTACAACTACTCCCTCGCAATGCTCCATCAACCAACCCGCTCCACGGCCGCCGGTCCAGCAGGCGACTGGACCGTCAAGTCTTGCATCCAAGCCTGCCTCATCTTCCGCAAGTTCCAGCGCCGCGGCCACCACAGCGGTCTCAACCACGCGCCCATTGCAGAGCTCTGGCTCGGCCTCGTGGCGCAGTTCAAATGCGGTGTCGCCTTGCTATACTGCTTCTTCGCCACGCCGCCGGCGTTACGTACGGCGACCTATGCGGTACCCGAGGCCGCGGAGGCTGTTAGGGCGTGTAGCGTTGTTATCTCTATTCTGGCGGAGCAGTGGCCTCAGAGCATTTGTCTCGGGGATGCGTTTGATATCTTGGCAAGAGAGGTGCCGCTGTACGAGCTTAGTAGTACACCTGCCAAGGTAGCGGGCATAGCAGATGCAGCTGCAGTGACGGGTCCGCGCAAGATGAGATCCGAATCAGCAGGTGCGTTGATGGCGATGAGGGGACAGCTCGAGATCATCGTGGTGCACCGCAACACGCTACACATGATTCGAGAGATGGCGCTGGACGAGTTTCCACGTCCGCCGTCATCGGCTGGTACAGAGTCTCAGACTCAACCTGAGGCGTCTCTAGCCAACACCACGGCGGCGGCGGCAGCAGCAGCAGCTCAGCTCGGCGAAGGGGACTCACCCTCTTGTGGGCGAACGAGCATCACCGGTGACATGTTCCAGCCCATGACGCCTCACTTCTTCCAGTCGAGCTTAACCAGTCTCGAGGCAGAGGGATTCGATCTTGCTGCGCTCGGGTTCCCTGGCGACTTTGATCTGCTAGACGCTTGAAGTATAAGCCAAAGTACCTCGCCTGAGATAGAACCGAGCACAATATCTTGGTGAATTTTGAGCATGAGCATGAGCAGGTGTCAAGGTGACAAAGTGTCACGGAGGGGCACGACATGTTGGCCAAGAGTGACGTCCAGGTTGCTGAGTAACTAACGCCGAAAGCCATGGATTCTGACTCGGGCAAGCACAACAAACTCAATTGAGTGCTTTCCCAAAGAAAGCTCGTTATCGGCTTTTAGCCAATCTGGTGGAGAACAGCTCACAAATAAACTCACAGGACGTACGTCACTGACGCCCCGGTGACGTGACCCCGTCCCCGAAAATGCTCATCCGCGGGGTTCTTCTTTCCGCAACAAAACATGTACCTATTTCCATGGAAGGGAAGGTACGGATCTACGTACAATCAAGTAGAGATCCACCTCGGCCAGTCCGCCCGCATCCGAATCAAGTCATCCACGGCCCTTAACGCCGTGCTTTTGATGGGGCCGAGCGGGGAAGCCATCCAGGTTGATTTCAAAGCCCCGCGGTCTCGTCTTCCGTATACCTAATGTGACCACTATTTGAATCAGCCGTCTGCCTGTCTCAAATACACACTTCTGTACCACACCAACATACCATACGAGACCACGACATATTTCATCTTGCTCAAGCAACAGCTCCACGTACTCTCTAACCAGAAACAACAACACACAGCCCATCATGAGCAAACACGTTCTCATCCTCGGCGGCCACGGCAAAGTCTCCCAACACCTAACCCCAATCCTCCTCAAAAAGTCCTGGACCGTAACCTCAATCATCCGCGCACAAGACCAAGTCCCCGCCATCGAAAAGCTAGCCCCCACCACAGGCAGCGGCAAACTCAACGTCCTCGTCCGCAGCATCGAAGACGTAACCTCCCAACAAAAAGCCCAAGCAATCCTAGACGAAGTCAAACCAGACACAATCTTCTGGTCCGCCGGCGCAGGCGGCAAAGGCGACCCCTCCCGCACCTTCACAATCGACCGCGACGCCGCCATCCACTTCATCAACGCCGCCGTCGCCACCCCCTCTGTCAAGAAATTCATCCTCGTCTCCTACCTGAGCTCCCGCAAGACGAAGCCCACATGGTGGTCTGATAAAGCCTGGCAGGACGCCCTCGACGGTAACAAGAAGCTCTATAACTACTCCCTCGCCAAAATCGCCGCCGACGAGGCCCTCTGGCAGGAATCTAAAAAGAGGACAGATGGCTTTGCCGGTATTAGTCTGAGGCCCGGTCTGCTGACCGAGGAACCGGCCGGCAAGATTGAGTTTGGAAAGACAAAGGAGGCAAAGGGCACGTCCAGTCGACAGACCGTTGCCGAGGTTGCCGCGCTTATTGCGGAGAATGACACCTTCACGACATCGTGGGTTGACTTGCTGGACGGCGACGAAGACCCCAAGACTGCAGTTGACAGAGTTGCAAAGGAAAAAGTGGATGTCGCCGTGGGCGAGGACTTCTACAAGGCTTAAAAAAAAGCATACCACGCTATGGGAGTTTTGTCATTAATAGTACTATCATAATACAGCGAATCTCGTTTCTCGTCATGTCATCAGAGCAATGTGCTTGAGTTCCCTATCATGATTTGTCAGCATCAATCCGAAAACACACCCAAGTGACCGACCGTATGACTTACTCTTGCACCTGCTGTCCCACCTTCATGGGCGCATACGTAACCTCTTCGCCCTCATCCCTGCCCAGATTGAATTGCTCCGCCCTAACCTTTTGCGCCTGCTCCGACAGCTGAGGGATAGGAGTGAGATCGTGGTCCGATGACAAGTGCCAGAAGAACGTGGATGAGATGCGCACGAGTGGGCGGTCGGGGAGCTCGGCTTTGCGGCGCTCAATCACGGCCAGTGTCTTTTCATTCACCACAACCTCGTGGAAGCCTGCCTTGATGAGCCCGCCCGTCAGATGCTCCAATTGCTTTCCGGCTTGGACGAGCAAATAGTTGCCCTCGGGAATCTTCACGGCAATCTTCTTTCCCGTGTTGCGCGCCCAGATGTGCAAGCCTGGATACCGAGAACGGCCGTGAATGGTCAGGAAGTTCAGGTCTGTGTGGAAACCGGCTAGAATGGTGTCCTGCTTGCCGTACTTGACCAAGTCGGAAGCCGTTGGTGCCAGAAGGTGAGGTCCGTACTTGCCGGCAGAGCTGAAAGCGTCGGCAGGGAGACCCAAGCCGACCGCCGCCATTTCTGCCAGGCCCGTAACAGCCTGCTTCATTGAGGTTCCCCACCTGTCCATGGCAGGAGGCCAGCGCTCACGGATGTGCGGGGCTTCGGGGACGACATTAGGGGCGTTGAGCCCGGGGAACTCGGTCTCGTACGGGGGGTTCTCAGCCATGCGCCAGAAGAAGCGGCACTTTGGGTCGGGATCGTGGGCTGTGATGTCGAGAGGGCGCTCGGTTTCCGCCAGGCGCTGGATGACCTTCAGGCAGGGCTCATCTACTGCACATTTTGGCTTCTCCGTATCCTCAAGAGTGACGCCGATCTGGTAGCTTAGCTCTGGACGCTCATCCTTCTTGAGCTCTTCGGTAGGCTGGGCAAAGTAGTCCTCAAGCAAGTCGAGGAAAGTAGTGTTGTCGGATTCGGCGACTCGGGAGTCGTGCAGCACGAGCGCGCCATAGGTGATAAGGGCAGTGGCGGCCTTTTCGCACTCATCGCGGACTGCAGCGGAGTCGCGGGGCTCGTTAAGGAAAACGTCGAGATCGATTATGGGGAGATCCATGGGGAGGTCCTGTGCGGCGGCCATGGCGGGCAAGTGGATGCGCGGGGTCTTGTGAAGTTGAAAACTTGACGATCGCTCTGTTGATGATTTGACAGGCCGACTGTGGCTAGGATATAATAAGCAAATAATGTGTACCACTGGTGGTTACGACCAGCATTCGCAAACGAGGAGCGGAAATCGCTGGATTTTGTCTTGTGTCGCTGTGCATGTGAGATGGTCGAGATGCGCGCGTGGTGGGGGTTCAGATGGCTCAATGGGGTCGCATGGCCCACCCGGGCGCCTGACCGGAACAGGCAGCTCACGCCGACCCAGACCGTTGAAGATGGTTCCTGTGCTATGGTCTTGAGCACATCGTGAATGCCAACCAATCCCGTCCTTTCGTCGGGGCTCTCCGGGTCGTGTCTACGGAGACCCATCCGGCGCGCCGAGACCCCTACTCCATGCTGATTTCCTTTCAGGCTGCTACCATTGGAGGATCTCTCCCGTTGGAAGCAATTCGTTGCGGATCTGGAAGACTCGATGGGCTGACTCGGGGTAGCGTGGAGTGCGGAGAATCTGAACCAATTTTCAATGTCCGTTGATTTCCGCCGGCCATCGCCGGTCCACGCCGCTAACCAATGGTCGGCAGCGTCGCTTTTCGTATGCCTAGTATTATTCAATTAGATTCGAATCTTGTTCCAGATCGTGCGTCTCTTGGTTGTTGAACAGCCGAACAACCTTTTCCCGGAGCAGTATGGCCAGTCATACGAGTCGAATACCAGGACCATGCTCAGTCTTCCTTAGAGTCTTCTGCATCTTGAGGAACCTTTCGTGGCCATTCGGGACAAACATCGATTTCCTCTCGCGGGAACCAAAGTTCCAAGAAAAGGTATAGCAAGTAGTCGACAATGACGCAGAGGCAAAACAGCTTGCCAGCCCAGATACCACAGCCGTAGTATCGCTTGAGTCGGTCAATGAGGGCGAAAGACCGCACTCGACTGTTACCGAACGTCGAGGAATTGGCAGCGTCATAGCCATAGAACTCGGCTTCGCTGAGCTCGCCTGTAATTCCCTGGTACACGCGCTCGGTGCGTTCAGCAACATTTGTCCATGAGTACATCTTCTGGACTTGCTCATGGAAACGTTCCGTTCGAATCTTGTTTGCTCGCAGTGCAGCAATAGCCCTTCCAGTTGCGGCGACCAAATCGTCTTCTTCTGGCTTGGCGAAGACAGTCATGTGCGACGGCAAGACCTCAGGAATACCACCGACCTGAGTGCATACCACGTACAGCCCGCAACTGGCTGCTTCTACAATGACAGTGCCAAAGGCTTCCGTCAAACTAGGATGGAGGTAGATGTGGCCGCGAACCATGACGTCGCGTACTTCTTCATGCCGAATAGGTCCCAACATTTCTACCCGATCTTGCAAGACGTTTTGTTCAATCATTTGTTCGAGGTCAATGGCCTTGGGCCCTGAGCCTGCAATGATGAACCTCGTGTTCGGGTGGTTCTCGAGGATGCGAGGGATCGCAGCCGTTAAGAGATCCGTTCCCTTGTTATAGAAGAGACGAGATATCACGACGATTGTGACTACATCGTTCGGTCCCAGGTGATGCGCGGGAGGTGGATTTTGACCAAATGCATTATTGGCATCGGTAGGGGGGTAATCGAGTGGACGGAAGTTTTCAGACACGACGGCGTTAGGTATGACTGAAACCATGAGGGGATCCAGAGATGCTCGGAGAACGGTATTTTCCTTGCTACGATTCCAATCAGTTTTGCCCCTGCGATGAGAGTCAAGGCGCGACGCAACGTACCAGGTATGGCTAACACAAATAACGTGGTCCACGTCACTCAGGGAAAACTTGAGAATCTTGTTTGTCAAGATGCTGCTAGCATCGGCGAATCCAAAAAGCGAATGGTCCGTAAAGACGGTCCGTAGACCCATGGTTCTCGCATGTAGAATAGCTTCATGGCAAAAGGTGCTCAAACTCGCATGGCCGTGGACGATTTCGATCTGTTCCCGGATGAGGATATTGCGAATGATGGGAAAGGCTGAAAAGACGGTTGGGAAACTAGCCGATCGGAATACGACGAGGAAGGGGATGTGGTAGACTCGCAGGCCGTTTGTCAGGTTTCGAATACCGGTGCGACCCTTATAAGCGTGGGTAATGATGATGACTTTGTGGCCTCGATCGATGAGCTTCGTGGATAGCTGGTAAATGTGACTTTCGACTCCTCCTGGCTGCGGGAAGAAGAAGTCGCTAGCCATAGCGATATTGTATGTTCGAGCCATGTTGTCTGTGTGCTCGGCGCGAGCGGTGGTCACCTAGAGAAATGATGATGAAGCATTGCAGGTTGTCAAGCGTGAACTCGCAGGACAAGATTTGTAGTCGCAAAGTGAAGTTGACGAAGAGGCGTGTTCCTCAAGGTCTTGCTCAGCTAGGCACCTTGCGCAAGAACCTGGAGGGTACGCGACTGAAGCTAAGGGGGGAGCTGCGGCATGGTGGTCCGATAAGGAAGATAAGGCAAGCGGTAGAACCTGGCAGAATTGCGATAAGGAAGGCCATCCAACTTTTTTTTGGGACGATGCGACAGGTGCCCCTCCAACTTTTGTATGTCAAGCCTCGCTGCGAAAAACGGAGGTTTGCGCAACGTTCGCAACGACTCTACAAGGTTCGCGAGAGCCCAATTGACACCATGTACGCTCGCTACGTCCCATCCAAGAAGAAAGAGGCCCAGGCGCCCGTCGAACCTTCGCCGCCGCCTCCTCCCCCAGCTCCAGAACCATCCGCGATACCAGCTAGCGAGCCAGTCGTGACCGAAGGTACCACCGCGGCCGTTCCGTATGCACGATTCGTACCGTCCAAGAAACCTCGCACCTCAATTTTGAGTGCAGCACCGGCAGAATCTGATGTACTGTCCCCGGCGACGAAGCGCAAACATGAAGAGCCCCTCGATGCCGTAGATACCCCGGTCAAGAAGAAGAAGTCAAGAAAATCGGAAACTGGTGCTGCATCAGACGAAGAAGAGACGTCACCGAACAAGTCTGAGAAATCGGAGTCAAAGGACACCAAGTTGGAAAAGAAGCAAAAGAAGAAGCGCGAATCTGAGGTCGAGACTGTCGAAGGGGAGGATGCCAAGGAAAAGAAGGATAGAAAAAAGAAGAAGAAGGACCGCGAACAGGAGGACGCAGAGGATGACGCCGTCGACAGACGACACAAGGACGTCCTGGCCAAGGCTACAAAATACTTGAAAAAGTCAGCAGAACTGATTGCCAAGAATGAAGCTGCGGACAAGATGGACGTGGACGAGGAAGAGGAGAAGGAAGAAGAATACGACTTGGTGCCCCTTCCACAACCCGAACCGACCGCTCTCGATACCTCGAAACCCTCTTACGAGACGCTGCCACCATGGCTCGCCGCCCCGATCCGCGTAGCTCCCGACACACGGACATCCTTTGCAGACATTGGCATCAACCCGAAAGCAGCACAGATTCTCGAGTCAAAGGGGTTCAAGGACGCTTTTGCCGTTCAGACGGCCGCTCTCCCCTTGCTTCTGCCGTCGTGCAAGCATCGCCAGGGCGATGTCCTCGTTGCCGCAGCCACTGGTTCCGGTAAGACGCTGGCATACGCCTTGCCCATCGTGCGCGACATCAGCCAAGGCGCCGTGACGAGGCTGCGGGCTTTGGTCGTTCTGCCGACGCGTGAGTTGGTCAAGCAGGCCCAGGAGGTATTCGAGCTTTGCGCCAGCGCGTTCGATGGCCGCGAGCAGAAGAGAGTGCGCATCGGCATCTCCATTGGCAGTCAGCAGTTGAAGCATGAGCAAACCAGTCTCATTGAAAAGGGAGAGAAGTACGACCCTGAAGCGTATCGTGTCGCACACCAAAGGGAATTGGAGGCATGGAAGGATGTTGAGGACACCGCAGCGGAAGATGAAGACGCAGCAGTAACGAAGCCGACCGCCGGATCTCTCCCGGATCACATTGTCGATTACACATCCAAGGTCGACGTCCTAATCTGCACCCCCGGAAGGCTCGTCGAGCACATCAACCTGACCCCTGGCTTCTCATTAGACTACGTCCGCTGGATGGTTGTAGACGAAGCCGACAAGCTTCTCGCTCAGAGTTTCCAAGGCTGGCTAGATACCGTCATGCCCAAGCTCAGCACCAACAAATTCAGCGCTCGCGACTTTCCCGACTCAAATCTGAGCGGCGTGCGCAAGGTCGTCCTCAGTGCCACCCTGACGCGAGACCTTAGCTTGCTGAGTGGGCTACAACTCCGTAGGCCGCAGCTCATCGTCTTGGAAGGCGAACAAGCCGACAGCACGGCATCTATTGCCGAGCATACCCTGCCCACTCTGCTCAAGGAGTCGGCCATCAGAGTACACGACGCGAATCTCAAGCCGCTCTACCTCATCGACCTCCTTCTTGACGGCCACCTCATGTCCGAGACCACGTCCAAGACGATTTCCGAGTCGCCCGCTGAAGACGACGCCACATCTTCATCAGACTCCAGCTCCGACTCCGATTCCTCCTCAGACTCAGATTCCGACTCGGACTCGGACAGCTCCTCGGACGCCAGCTCAACAGCCGCCGCTGCCACCACCTCCAAGTCTTCCACAAAACCCTTCACAACAACAGCCCTCATCTTCACCAAATCAAACGAATCCGCACTCCGCCTCTCCCGCCTCATCTCCCTCCTCCACCCTTCTCTGACCTCGTCCATCGCAACCCTCACCTCAACCCAAAAGACCTCGGATCGCCGCCGCGCCCTCCGCGCCTTCGCTGCCCGCCGCCTCCGTCTCCTCGTCGCCTCCGACCTCGTCGCCCGCGGTATCGACCTGCCCCTCCTCGACAACGTCATCAACTACGACCTTCCCGCTAGTGCCGCCGGCTACGTCCACCGCGTCGGCCGTACTGCGCGTGCCGGCCGCGCCGGTGCCGCCTGGACCTTGGTCGAGGACGGCGAGAGTGGTTGGTTCTGGGGCAAGATCGCCAAGCCGAGCAGCGGGATCCGTCGCGCGGAAAAGGTTGATCGTCTGCGTATCGGAGACCCCGACAGCGGCGGGTTCGAGGAGGAGAGAGTGCAGAAGTACGAGGAGGCGTTGGAGAAGTTGGGCAAGGAGGCCGGTGAAGCTAGGAGGCAAAGATAGTGTTGGATATAGCGGTGTCTCATATTATAATACCATTTCAAAGCATGTGTTGCCTAAGATACTCCTCCTTTCATCGTTTATATTTGAACCTCTTCACTGCGGGTCATGACTTCCGCACTTCATGATTAGGCAAGCCATTTGATGCATCTTCTTGCCGTAGTATACTCTGAGATAAACGCTTTTTCGAGCTAAGCATTGGATCAAAAAGATGACGGCGCTTTCTCGCTGGTGTTCATTACTTTATTGATTGATCTATCACCACTTAGACTCATCCTTGTCATGTAAGCTCCCAACCCCACTATGAGCTATTGTCACCTGGAAGGGCCGCGAACTCAGCCAGGTGCGCGGCTCACGAGGCGATGGCGCACATCGACATGATTGATCCATGATTATGAACATTGCAGGGGAGGGGGGGGAGTTGAAAAGGGAGAAACAAAAACAAGAAACAGTCCTATCGAGATAATAGGAGTGTTCACTGATACCGTGTCTCTCAACTGTGTGAAGCGTACCGAGAACCGCCAAAGCTATCAACGCAGACATTAAGTGCACTTGCCAAGGAACCAGCTCCCTATTAACCACGTCAGTCTAAGTGCCATACTGCCAGACCGAACCCTGGCTCGTGGATATAAAGAGTGATTTGAAGACGTACCTTGGTAAGAGACACACTTCAGACCGCTGTTGCACACAATTCCGGAGTAGTTGACATTGCACCAGTCTAGACAACAGTAAAGCCGACATTAGCAACTCTTCACGTCATGAACACCCTTAACCTCATACGAGGCGTCGTCTACTAACCTCCCTTGCGGCGCTGGCCCCAGCAAACGTACTCCTCAGAGCCGGTGTGAGGCATGCAGTATCCACTGAGGCACTCAATGTTGAGCTGGCACTTTGCCCCGTCGCCGCTCAGGGCGAAGGCGGTGCCGGCCATCTGGGCGATGAACAAGAGGGACGAAGACAGCTTCATGGTTGTTGAATAAAATGGCTCTGACGGAATAAGCAAAGGGGATGGGGTCCAGATACGAGTGATTGCCAGTGCAATAGTTCGCACCTCTCTGCTTGGTTATATAGCAACCTGTGCATCCCCTTCCCCCCCCCCCCCTTCTTCCCATATTTCCTGCACGGTCTGAGCTTCAAGGTCGACAAACTGCGCCCTACTCTTAGTCCCATTTTCTTGTACGAGGACATACGGATATAATTCTGCGCCCACGGTACAAGGATGGGCGGTGACGCCGTCCTTCCCGGCGGGCGGTGTTGTGGAGTTCTTTCTCGTGATAACAGTGTATAGGCCGTCGGACATTGACAGACGACTCGTGTAATAGAGCAGTCGTTTTCTCACTTTCAGGTAGTTTTCCAACTAGTCCCCACTAGAATATCAAAGCTTTCTATTATACTTCGAGGCTAGTAGTCATTTTCTCTCAACGTTTCGACGATCCGTATTACGGAGAGTAATCTCGGGGAAGTGGGAGAGAAAAGTCAATGAATGCAAGCTCTCTCAGCCATCTCGAATCAAAATATAATTTGGAACTCCGGGTATAGAGTCGTAGATGTTTGCAGCGACTCTCGCTCTACGATTCTACGATTCTGTGTCGTATGTTGTAATCATCAAACCCGACTTATCAGTCAACTGTCTGACTCGCGCAGTTGCCTCAGGTGCAAGGAGGCCTTGTAAGCCGGAGTGCGAGCACAACGCTCACAACATCAGTCCCATGTCTCCTAATTGCAAGCCGCGTCTTCGCCGAGACCAATTAAGGCTCTATCAACACGAATATCCTTTGCGAAAAGCTTAGGTTCACCTCTGTGACTTGACCTCGCGCTCAAGATCTCGTGCCGTGGAGGGTTTACTCACCAATTACCTCTCACCTAATGACGCTCGAAAGAGAACGGCCAATGGCTCAATTGAAGCTGATGAAAGGAAAGACCCAGGTACGGTCGAAGTAAACACGTCATCTTCAATGTGTTTCTCGGCAGTTCTGTGCCGATCAGCAATCAGCATCTACGATACGGAGAAAATTCGAGTCATGCCTGCTATTCGAGCCCAAGAAACTGCTTTTCGTAACTCCGTTTAAGGTCTTGAGCGTTGCAGACGTTGAGACTTGGAGATATCTATTGACACACCAGGCAACATTCGTTGAACAGGACCAATGTTTCAAAAGACTCGACAAGTGTTGTTGCCGTTGAACTGAAGACATGATTTCGTGACCAGTAAGCCGTGCACCGTGGGAACACATCTCCTCTGACGGGAAAAGACCGGGATACACGGCCGAATCCTGCCAAAAAAGGGACCCAGCAAATCAGCGTTCTCGAGAGACTCATCCGCAACAATCAGTGACTCTTTATCACAGCTCATTCCAGCTAGCCTACCTCTGCAACTCCATGTTTACAGATGAATAATAGTAAAGCACGCAATTAAGGAAACCTGTCATTATCAGGAAAAGACCACATCGCACCTTTGCACCATTGACTTACAAAAGTTGATGGACTACACCGTCTCGAGCCTTGATATATAAACCAGCCCACGATCCTTGGCAATCCGGCATCAAGACAATCAATCCATCAGTCCAACAACACAATAAAATTCCCCGATCTCGAGCCTCAAACACCAGAAAAAAACCCACTACACATCGTCAACAATGCCGCCCTACAAAATCCAACCTGTAACCCTCGCCGACAGCCCCGCCCTGGCACGCAACAACATCTCCGCCTTCTGGACAAACCCGAACTGGAACCTCCTCTGGCCCAAATCCACAACCCTCGACTTCCTCATCGCCGAAGCCACAAAGCGCATGCCAAACAACCTCCTGCGCGACACCGCCGCCCTGCGCCACCAAAAGGCCGTCGACACCGAAACAGGCGAGCTCGTGGGCTACGCGCGCTGGGAGCTGCCGGCCGGTCACCGCGACGCGACGGCGTGGGACGGCTTCAAGATTGCAGAGGATGCAGCGGTGAGCGAAGAGGAGAGGAGGGCGATTAAAGAGCGCTCCGATGCGGCGTGGTGGGAGCCGATTGATATGGACGGAATCGATGATTGCGTCCCGCAGAAAATGCGGATTCTGGCGGAGAAGCCGTATATCAGTAAGTTATCCGTCACAACCTGAATGAACGGGAGTGGCCCCGGACGTGCCCGAGCCCACTGCATCGTCCTCTTCCCTTCCGAGACTTCTCGGTTCTTGAGCTAAGGTGTGAATACAGGCCTCGACTACCTTGCTGTTCATCCCGACCAGAAAGGCAAGGGAATAGCGACCGTCCTCGTCGAGGAAGGCATCCGGCTCGCCGAGGAGACAGGGATCGACATCTTTATCCTGGCTTTCCCGGCCGGCCTGAACGTGTATAGGAGGCTGGGCTTCAAAGAGGTTCACCGCGGTTACCAGGACGACACCAAGTACGGCGGCGAGGGTTACTGGGTGACGCTGTTGACGTATGAAGTCAAGAAGACAGACAGCACGTAGGGCTGCCCTTAAGTCATCTCTCAGCTGGAGATGGGAGGAAGGGAGAGCAGAGAATCAACGACGTCAATGATGACGATAAGACGAAGCCAGCGACTTCAATCGATGCGACGTATATTTCATAGCTACTAATTTTTCACAATTTCATTAATACAGACCCAACATCCCGACAACCTCATCTCCGCTTAGAACCGCGCCTCCACCTTCTCCTCCGTATCCTGCAAAGCCCAATCGCTCCTCTTGGTCTTACTCCTCACAGCCGCCGCCTGCTGCGCCGTGAACCCCTTCGCCTCGACCGCCGGGTTATACCCCAGCTTGTTCGCCTTGCCCACCGCCGCAGAATCAATCGCCGGAGCCTCTTTGCCGTCTGCGCGACGGTACACCGTCACGACCACGGCGCCGCCCAAGCCCAGGTTATGCTGCAGCGCGGCCTTGGTACCCTTCACGGCGCGGTTGTTAGCCCAGCCGCGCAGGTGCCAGACCAGCTCGGCGCACTGCGCGATGCCCGTGGCGCCGAGCGGGTGACCCTTGGAAATCAGCCCGCCTGACGGGTTGACGACGTACTTCCCTCCGTACGTGATATCCCCGCGCCTCACCAGCTCATGCGCCTTCCCCGGCTCCGCCAACCCGAGCGAGTCGAGCACAATCATCTCGTTGGCCGAAAAGCAGTCGTGCAGCTCGACGACCTGCACGTCTTTGGGAGTAAGCCCGGCCTCGCCCATGGCGGCCTTGACGGCGTGCTGCGTCATCTCGAAGCCCATGAGATCGATAGCGGAGCGGGAAAACAGCGAAGGCGCGTCGGTGGCGAGGCACTGGCCCGCGACGAGGACGGCCTGGTCCTTGAGGTGGGGCCGCGCGTCGAGGAAGGCCTGCGAGACAAGCACCGCGGCGGCGCCGCCGTCCGAGGTCGGGCAGCACTGCAGTTTCGTGAGGGGCGCAAAGATCTCGGGGGCCTTGAGGATCTGCTCCTGGGTGTAGACGTCCTGGAACTGGGAGTAGGGGTTCTTTGTGGAGTGCTCGTGGTTGATGCGGGCGATTTCCGCAAAGTCCTCGGCCTTGGCGCCGTATCTGCGCGCGATGTTAACTATGTGTGCGTTCTAGCAGCTTGTAGAGATATGAAAGGGAACATACTTCTCCATGTACTCCCGCCCTGCGTTGCCAAACATCTGCGCAGCCCCGGGTGCGTTGGTAATACCCCTCGTCTCAGCCATCATCTTGATGGTGGTACCCGTGGGGTTCTCCCGATCATTGAAAAAGCTCTGCAGCGAGCCGGGCATCATCTTCTCGAAGCCAACGACGAGCACGCAGTCGGCGGCGCCGGACGAGACAAAGCTGCGGGCCATGGCGAGGCCCGTGGAGCCCGTGGAGCAGTTGTTGTTGACGTTGTAGATGGGGATGCCCGTCATGCCGAACTGGTAAAAGACGCGCTGGCCGCAGGTGCTGTCGCCGTAGCAGTAGCAGGCGACGCCCTGCTCGACGTCGTCGTAGTTGATCTGGGCGTCGAGCATGGCCTTGACGCCGGCCTCGAAGCCCAGCTCCGTGTAGTCGACCTTGCCGCGGGGCTTGATGAACTTGGTCATGCCGACGCCGAGGACGTAGCAGGGCGCCTTTTGGCGTTGTTGTCTGGGAGCCATGATGTTTGATGTGTGTGATGTGTGTCTGGAAGGATGTAAGGGTTGGTTATTCCTGTGTTATGGTTGTGATACTGGAGGTGGCTTCTAGTTGAACTTGGTGATGGTTTGGGAATAAGGATTTGGGGTTGCCAATCTCAATGAAAGAGGATGAGAAAGTGAGACACCTGGATAGATACTCTGGGGTAGGACCTTGTGATATATTCCCCCGGCTATGTAGAAACGATTAATAAGGTATACGGATGTCTCCTGGCTTTCATGTGCTCTGCAAGAAAACAACAGGTGAAGTTGGCAAGCTTTCGCCTCCCCCTCTTTGAGCACCACTTTCTTTTTACCCCGGGAATACGGGTACGGATAGGGATGAGCTTCTCCAGACCCCCAGGTTTCCTCACTCCTGAGCTACCTACCTACGCCTACCGGCACAAATTCCGCACTATCCGTTGTGACTTTGTGACCAAAAACAGCGTCAAAACACCACCCAAATCCACAGCTAGGCATGTAACAACGGGGATCATTGGGGTCTATGGGGAGCTTCGATGCGGGGAAACTGCGTCTCAAAGACACAGAATGCCGAGGCCCCGGCCGCTAAGAGATGGTCGAGCACTTTTGAGCTTCAGACCTTGCAGCTGTGTTTCCCCAAAGATGATGGCCAATCATGTTGCTTGCCGAGGTAAAATCTGGTCCCTCTTTGCCAGGTTTAGTGTAGGTACTCCGTAATAGCCCTTTTTGGTAACCTTGTCGTCGGACTACTGCGGTGGTTAACTGTCGTTGGGGGGACTAATTAGCAATGAATGTAACGAAATGCTGACTCGAATAGGTGATTCAGACTCGGTGATTTCGCATCTGATACCTCGTCGTGCTCGTGAACTTGTGAAGAGACAGGTCTCATGAGCTTGAACTACTAGTCTGTCTATCAATTCTGTCTATCAAATGCCAGAACCAAATACATGATAAGACTCTTGAATGAACATAGCCTTGAGACACCGGTGTTGCACAGCTAATACCATTGGGGAATCAAGTGTTGTCAACTTGGGGTGGACTGAGATGAATCTATCTGTTTCTACCAGGCAACACAACTCATAACTCAAAGCCTCTCAATTCATTGCAACTTGCCCTTCACCCACGCCTCAACCTGCTGCTCAATCTCAGGCACATACAACCACCTCATCTGCCCCTCACCCTCCTCAAACCACACCTCCTCCCGCGGCAACTTGGCCATCTCATCGCTCGGAAGCCTCTTATTATTCAACATCTTGGTCAACCCAACCAACCGCCCCAGCCTCTCCCTCCGAATCCCCTGCCAGAACCCAACGCCCTCCTCCCACCCAATCTTCCCCGAACTCTCCCTCACCCTCTTCACCACCAGCGCAAGCGAAGCAGCATCCTCCAACGCCATCGAAGCCCCCTGCCCCGTCGTAGGCGGAATCGCATGCGCCGCATCCCCCAACACCAACACCCGTCCCGCACCACCCTGCGAAGCCCACCTCTCCAGCGCAGGCAGCATGAAAAACGGCCACACATTCATCGTCTCGTCCCGGATCCCCTCGAGCGCAGACCGCACCAGGCCCGGCCACGCCTCCTCATTCAACCTAAGTCTCGCCTTGAGCGCCTCCTTATCCGCCATCAGCGCCTCCCGCGGCAGACTCGCCTTCTCCGCATCAAACGGCACCTGCGTCCCCGCCAGCATCTCCCCGCCGTCCCGCCCCTGCGGCGCCAGCACAAACACCCCATTACCGCTCGCCACGCTGACGGGGAACTTGTACTCCTTGTCTTCCGGAACCCGCAGCTGCGCCGTCGGCACCGCGTACGTCAGCGCCGCGAGCCCCACAAACCCGGGCTGCGCATCCGGCGCGACATAGCTGCTCCGCACCCGCGAGTGGATCCCGTCCGCGCCGACAAGTAACCCGGCCCTCCTTCTCTCCCCGTCCGCGAACTCAAACTCCACTCCTTGGTCATCCTCCCCAACAACTTTCACGAACCTCTTGCCATACCGCACCTCCACTCCGCGCGCCCGACACGCCCCCGCAAGAATCTCAATCAACTCCTGCCGAAAAATCCGCACGGCATCGTACCCAAACTCTGCCTGACCGCCGAGCGGGTACCGGTCGACTGTGATCTCGTCGCGGTCCTTGTAGTAGACGTAGTCAAAGCTGTACGCCTTCTCCAGGAGCGGCTCGTAGACGCCCAGGGACTCGAGGATGCGCAGGGCGTTGGGGCAGAGCATCATGCCGCCGCCGGCGTGGTGGGGCAGCGGCACCGCGTCGCGGGACTCGTAGATTGTGGCGGCGATGGCGTGCGCGTTGAGGGCGAGGGCGAGGGCCATGCCTGCGATGCCGCCGCCGATGATGGCCACGCCGTCGAGGCTGTCGTGGGTTGAGGTTGTGGCGGCGGGCATTGTGAATGATGTCCTGAGTGAGGGTAAGGGTAAACGTGTGTGACAAGATAGAGTGAGATGTGTGACTAGCAGACTATGAGCTGTGTGCTGTGGGCTAATCTGTACAGCGACAATGGTGAGAATTTCTTGGTGTTTGCCTGCCTTGGTATCCTCAACGCAATATCGGGGAGACTCCATGAACCTTTATACCCATCCAGCTTCACATCCCGACCTGCCCAACTGCCCAAAAGTCCATTAGATTAATCCCTCCCATGATTGTTAAGCTAAAAGAACACATCATCGTCCTCCAAGGGCGCCCGCTTCCACGAACCAATCTCGCCATCTCACCAAGAAAGCCACACGGCCGCGCCCCCTCCTCCGGGTGACCGGACCCGCCACTCGGCCGAGTACCATACGAATCACCCAATCCAGTAAAGCTTCCTCCGTACTCCGGGCTCCTCCTTCTCCGCGTCCGAGTCCCGCCCCCCTCACCAAACCCGAGCCGCCGAATCGCTGCTCTCCATCTCATTGTTCACCCTGCGGCCCAAAATCACTCATCACACAAAGCTTCGGTTTGTAAGAGAGAGAGGGGGGATTATGTGTGTTCCCCCCACCCCGAGTAAGCACTATTCTCGCTATGTAACTATGGAGTAAACGAGAAAGAATAAAAATAAAATAGGATCGACTTGCCTGCCCTGAACCATCCTATCCCATAAAGTCGTATACACACACACCCCCCTGTCGCTGCCCTCCATGAACAAGATTCACACTCCCGAATCCCTCCTCAAGACAACCCCCAACCGGAGAAAAGGCGTCAACGTGAACCCCGAGCTCCCCTCACTTCACACACACATACAGCACGCCGCCCCTCCCTCATCAATCCAGAAGGGGGCCACGGGGGGAAACTCTGAATCGTTCCATCTCACCTTCGAACCTCTCGGCTCCGCCGAAAAACCTTCCCTGGGGGATACATGTTACGTATCTTTATACCAAACACTGTGAACAAACCGTCTCATATTCCTTCTTCTCCTTCACACCGTCCAAGCATCACCACCGCACACCACCAAATACATACTTTCCTCTCCCCTTCTCTCGTCATAACCCGTCAACCAAACCCCCCTTGCAAAAGGAAAAAAAAAAACTTAGAACTCAGATTCCCCCCTTCCCTTCCCTTCACCCACGCCCCTAACTCGGCCGAGTGGCCCCGATTTGGCAACCCACGTCCGACCGTCTTTTACACTGTAGTCTGTACTTCATACGCAGCACAGCTCACCGAAAAAAGAGGTGCTTGCCAAGCTCCTATCGCATCTTCACTACACGTGATAAACTTCCGACATCCGGACGAGCATCCGCGAATCTACGAGTGCCAAATCTGATATTCCGTGACATCGTGCGTACTCTGAAGTAATTGAATGACTTCGGCTTCAAGAACCATGATGGTTTTGGTGTCGTAAAGATGGGGATGGGGTGAGGGGTGAGAGTTGCGCGTGTGTAAAATCAACATAACCAAGAATCGCAGAAACATCCAGCTCTCCGTATTCAACACAACTAAAGGCGTAATCAGGACCTCCAAATCACGAGCGCCAACAATAGCGAGTTGAATGCGAAGAGGCCAATCAACAACCAATCCGTCTGCCAAAAATTTACCAAGGTGAACATGCGCTGCCTAAGGTAAGGCAAGGTAAGCATAAGCACCACCTTAGCGTCGGGTCCCAATTTCCCCCGTCCGCCGCTCTCTCGGTCGAGAAACCAACGTGACCACCCAACGCCCGGCCGAGTTGCAAGAGCAACTACTTGAACCGCTTCACCATCTTCGGCTCCGGGAATTGTCAGCGTGGTTATTTGGTCAGCAGACCACGCATTCAATCTCACTGCGCCGAACGTGGGCTGGCGCAAAGCCCTCCCCATTCCTTTCGGACTTGAATCCTTCTCGGCCGATAGATCTGCGAGAGAGGAACACCGCTGAGAAAGAAGCCCCCTTTCTCTCAGTAAAGCAGAGAATCTCGGCCGGGACGGAAAAGATGATTTCCAATGATTTCTGGTCTCAATAGTAGACAGCTAGTGACTAGAGACGAAAGTAGTTTCTTGAGAAATGTATAAAGCGCAAGTATAAGTCGCGATGAAGATATGTGTCCAGACTTTCATCACCACCAACAACAGCATCATCACCATATCTTCTCAGCCTCAAAGCTACTACAGTCTACCTTTTATTCTCAACTCACAATACCCACAACTGAATCAAACCACCAAGACCCAAACCCACTACCTATCAAAAATGCACATCCTCCTCATCGGCGCAACAGGCCGCAACGGCACCCTCGTCCTCACTGAAGCCCTCACCCGAAACCACACAATCACAGCCCTCGTCCGCGATCCCACCACAACCTCCACCACCCTCCCCCCTCACAAGAACCTCACCCTCCTAAAAGGCTCCCCCCTCTCCCTCCAAGACCTCCTATCCGCGATGCAAACGCCAACAGCACCAGACGCAATCATAATCACCCTCAACCCCCGCCGCCTAACAGACTCCCCCTTCTCAGCCCTCGACCCAAACACGCCCCCCGCCCTCCTCCACGACTCCGTGTCAAACACCCTACAAGCCATCAAAACCCTGAACCTGCCTCGCGCCCCCAAACTCGTCATCAACAGCATGCAAGGCGCCGGCGCGAGCTCCAAGAGCCTCATCTTCCCGCTCCGCACCCTATTTAACCACACCAACATGAAGCACACTCTGGACGACCACAACGCCGTGGACGCGCTGTTCAGGGCCGACAGCAACGGCGGCGACGCGGTAGGCAAAGACGTGGATTGGGTCTTGGTCAGGCCGCCTATGCTGACCGAGGGCGAGAGCCTGCCGGTCAAGGTGTACGACGACGAGGGCAGCGGGGTGTGCTGGATGCCCAAGATCACGAGACGGAGCGTGGCCGGTTTCATGGTGGACGCGGTTGAAAAGGATGACTGGAATCGCAGTGCTCCTGTGATTACGAACTAAGATCAAGTTCAGTCAAGATGTGTAAGCGAGAGAAGCTGTCGGGTGGACTTAAGAGTCCATGTCATTCTGCCTTTGACAACGGAACGGCTCCTTGGTATTTGATGTAGTAGTAATAAGCATGTTGTGCAATGCCAACCATGCCCCTTTTTTGGTTTTCCTCCGCTGCTTGTTGGTATCTTCGGTGTAATGTATTTACAGAGTTTCTACTCGTGTGCTCTCCCTTGCCCAGTGGGCATTTCGCATCTCTTTGCTTCCCCTTACTAGAATGTCTGCATAATCATCATTGTCTAGCATCGCATCCCTTTCTTACTCACAGAAGTGCTACAAGTAACTAACAACTGCGGAATTATGACCTGCTCATCCTCGCCGGCAGTCGAGTTGTGATTATTGTTGTTGTCGGTTGACATGTGATTGGTCGTGAATGTCCAGCAAGGACAAGGGTCGACGGGTCCTCTTGGATCGCCGTGATGTCCCCGCAAAGGGGGGGAGTTTTGTACCGCTGCCGCGGTATTTGTCGTGTATTTGTCAACGCAGAATCCCAGCAAAACGAATCCAAGCCACAAGGTGTTCGTGGCACGGGCGACTTTTGGGGTGTTCCGGTCTCCCTCCATCATATCCTATCCCTATTCTCAACCCCGCATCATGTTATGTTAGGAGGGGCCTGGTATCATCGGATTCCAGTAGTCCAAGTCCCAGTCCGCGTAATCATCCGGAGTCTGCCGACCACGCATCAGCCCAGTCCCATCCGTCCCACAGCACCCAGCCGCCGTAGTCACTTACCGCAGCCGCCGACGCATTTGCATGAAACATGAACGGGGGCCTCGTCTGCATGTAGGGATCCATCGGGTCGGCCGGCTTAGGCAAGGACATCTTCTCGGGGCTGGTATTCGTAGCCGTCTGACAGGCGTCGAGCACGCCCTGAAGGCTGCGTCGAATGTCTTGCAGCTTCTGCTCTTGGGTCGTGGATTGTACTGAGGCCAGAACCACGGCGAGCGCGACAATATCCTTGACGTCGTTGCCACCAACGTTGCGGACAAGTAGGTTGAGCGTCTTCTCGACCGTCTTGATCAAGCGAGATGGTGACCAGAGCGCAAATGTTTCGGTGCTGAAGGTGACCCCATCATCCATCGGATCCGGGGACATGGCCACGGTAGATGCTATTCCAAATGTATTCCCGTTGACATGGGACTCGGTCGCTGCCTTGATGTAAAAGCACACGCTAAAGGCTGCCTGCAGAATGTCCTTCTTCAGTACCATGTGATACATGTCGCTGACATCCTGGAAATGACTGAGGAGCGGGTCCAGTTCGTCAAGGTATCGCATGATAACCATTGAAGACCGCAAATAAGCCCTCGATATCTGGGATGGAGCGTCCGGCAGACCGAGCGCGAATGGGCGGTACAGGGCCAGCAGAGGGCGTCGGACATGCATGTCGAGAATAACCCTCGACCGCCACTGCTTGCTCTTTTCGACTTCGTTTAGTATACCGTGGCGCGGGAACAAGTAGTTGATATCCTCCAAGAACCGATCGAGCTTCGTCCCAACTTCGATAATCTCACTGTAATCCCGAATCGAATCCACGCGGTTGATTAGGTGCGCAACCTGCATCCGAGCTCCCAACGTCATAGCAGCGTATACCTGCATCTGGTTGTCGGTAAGCTGGTCGATAGGCTTGCTCGGCGGGAGCTCCTTCATGTCAAAGAACAGATCGCTATCGTCAAGGTTTCGGGGAGGTCGGCAGGTGAAGTCTCCATCGCGTACAAGGCAGGACAGGTTGCATGCCAGCGAAAGGTGCAGATCCATATCCAGTATCGTAAACCACAGCCTCCGTCGCAGCTCACCAAAGAACACCGGCACCCGAGGTTCGAATTCCGATGGGTCTCGGTGCATGCCCATGGTCATGGCCATGCGTACGATATAACCAAGTTGCGCCCACGAATCCTGCGGCCTCGGCGTAGTCATCCTCTGAGCGTGAACCAGGAGAATCTCGGTCTGCAACGTTGTCAAATCAACCAGCTGTTTGCCCTTC